GACCTCTCTGTCCCAGACTCTCTTCACCTGTCGGACAAGGTGAGGATGGTGGCTGCTGTCACCATAGTAACAGACAAGGCACGGCAGCAGTGGCTTCACTACAGATGGCTGGGAACCCTCGAGGGTCTTTAGTCACACAGATAGCTTCTCCATATGCTGCCATTTTAAGATCAGATTGGTTGGGATGTGAGAAGAAAGGGGGGATCCTGGGAGGGGTGAGGAGGACAGGGTCCTCTGCAAACAGATTAGATACCATTTCTCTGGCGACCAGTGACAGCTGGCTAGAGAGGGGCGGCCGTATCACAAAACCTGCGAAAGGTGTGTGGGTAGGGGTGCGTCTAAGACTCCCAAACCTCGGCTCATGGTGGAATCCCAGGATATTAAAGCAGGCAATGGTGTCACCTGGCTTTTGACAGAAACAAATGCAAATTCTAAGCCGGAGGAAAATCCCTTCAATGTTGGCCCCTTCGGCTGACCTTCGATTAGTATCAACGGAACAGTCATCCACAGCTGACGATGTACAGAGACATGTACTCCATGAGTGCAGTTAGCAGGAACAATTACCGTTTAGATCCTTGGGGAATTCACGTGTTGGAATTATTGAAGATTATTGAAGGACAGAAGCTCACGATGTACAAAATGTTTTTAGAAGATGGGGGGATGCCAGGCATGGCTGGGCACTCTTCAGTTCTAGCACGCAGGCTCCTGAGGCAGGAGGATCTCTAGTATGAGGCCAGCCTAGGCTACATAAGGAGTTCCAAGCCAGCCTAGGCTACATAAGGAGACCCTGTTTTAAAGAAAAATAGAGATGAAATAAAACAACACTAAAAGCAGGATTGGAGATGTAGTGCACTTGCCTAGCACAAGACCCTGCCTGCGTAGATTCCCAGGAGTGAAAACATGAAAAATGGCCATGCAACAGTCTGCTGTGGTACACTGTCATCTCAGCTACTAGGGAGGCTGGGGCTGGAGGGTAACAAGTTCAAAGCCAGTTTAGACAATACAGAAAGGCCCGATCCAAGAAAAACCAAGCCAAAACCGGACTGAGAAACAGATTCGACAAAGAACCAAGCAGAGCTTTTAGAAATTAATAACTGTTGAAAAACCATCAAGGAATGGATTTCTCAGAAGAAACAATTACACAGAAGAGTGCCAACAGTCAACAGACCCAGAATGCACTGGGGAGAGGGAGGTCGAGGCTGGGAAGGTCTAACGTAAGTCCTGCTTGACTCCCAGAATCACAATAGAAGGAAGCAATGCTGTCTGAATGGGTAGCCCTAAGGATTTTCCAGAATCCATGGAAGACTATACCACTGATAAATCACCCAGGCCGAGTCTGGTACATAGTGGGTGAATAGAGAACACCATGTCCTTTCACATTTGGGGGTGGGGGACTCCCAGAATCCACAGGATGTGTTCCCATACTCTTTGAATTATCCCAAGCCTTCTAGATCTTTGTAGACGTCCCTGAATGGGCGAGGCGGGGACAGTCCCGGTGGTGGGATGAGAGGGAAGCGGCTCAAGGCTGCGGCTTCCAGCTCTAACAGCTGGCCCGTGTGTGCGACAGAGCGAGCTGAGCGATGGCATCGCCATGCTGGTGGCAGGCAATGACCGTGTGCAAGCCGTGATCACGCAGATGGAGGAGGTGTGCCAGACCATTGAGGTGAGCGTGGGCTGGGAGGACAAAGGGACGGAATGGTCAGTAGTCTGTCTCGAGACCCTGATTTCCAAAGAGAACTGTTCCTCTTTGACCTCTGGTCAGACTGCCCAGAAAGTCTCTGGACTCTAGATCACGGTGGGTTGTTTTTAGCCAGGCTGCTCCCGGCGCTCACCAGCTCTGCAATGTTGGTCAAGCTGCTTGGATCTTCTCTGCTTTGGTTTTGTTTGGTTTTTGACTAATATAAAACAAGTGATGACCAGAGGGGTGGAGGTAGGATGATCACAAGTTCCAGGCCAGCCTAGGCACCTTAAGGAGAGCTCATCTCTAAATAAACTAAATAAATAAATAAGCAAGCAGAGACAATCATGCCAGCACTCTGGAGGCTGAGGCAGGAGGATTTCTCATTTAAGGCCCATTTGACCCATCTCAAAAATAAATGAGTGGGGCTGGAGAGCTGGCCCAGGGGTTAAGAGAAGGTACTGCTATTTCGGAGGACCAGAGTTCAGTTCCCAGCACCCACACTGCCTGGCTCAAAACTGCCTGTAACTCCAGCTCCAGAGGAATTCACTTTCTCTGGCCTCACAACCCATGTGGGCCCATGTGGCTCACAACCATCTGTAACGAGATCTGGTGCCCTCTTCTGGCCTGCAGTCATACATGCTGTATACTAATAAATAAATAAATAAATCTTAAAAAAAAAAAAAGATAAAATAGGCTGGGAGGTGAGAGCAATCAATGTTTATATATATATATATATGTGTGTGTGTGTGTGTGTGTGTGTGTGTGTGTGTATGAAATATCAATGAATACATTTAATTAAAAATTATGTGATAAATAATTATGTGCCCTAATTATATAGTTAACTAAATATATTTGGATATTGAGACTATTTGCAGTCCAATTAACTTTAGAAGTTTAGATTTATGGTTTTATTTTCAGTTCTGTGTATTTGTGTGTGTCTGTGCGCGGGGGCATGTGCTCGTGAATGCTGGCGCCCATGGAGGCCAGAGGCGCTTGCTGGATCCCTTGGGGTTACAGGGGTGAATACAGGAACAGAAACCAGGACCTCTGCAAGGGCAGGGCGCACTAGCAAGGGAGCAAGCTCTCCAGCTCCCTAACCAATGTCTATATTTTGAAATAAGGTTTAGTTTCATATCAGAGAAAAAAATTAAAAATATAAAACTCAAATAATTTTTAAAAAAGAGTGATGCTGATCTGATAGTGGCATGGTAGCTACCTCATTTTATTTCCTTTAATAAGTAAGTGGAAATTAAAGCCAAGCCAAGCCAGGGCCAGCGACATACATAGCTCCCAGAAGCAACTTCGAAATATGCTGTTATCATTGTTAATTGAAAAGCTCTGAGCTGAAATCTGTGCCCCTAACTCAAGGTGTGACCCTCGTCATACTTACCTTCTTGGCTCCCCTTGAGTTCTGTTTAAAGGGGGAGAGGGATCAAATACCCCGCTCTAGCCGCCCTGGGGGTGCTCGGCCACGACCTCCTTCAGACTTGCTCTGACCTTTCAGGACAACAGCCGCAGGCAGAAGCAACTGTTAAACCAGAGGTTCGAGACCCTGTGCGCGGTGCTGGAGGAGCGCAAGGGCGAGCTGCTGCAAGCGCTGGCCCGGGAGCAGGAGGAGAAGCTGCAGCGTGTGCGGGGCCTCATCCGTCAGTACGGAGACCACTTGGAGGTTTCCTCTAAGCTGGTGGAGTCCGCCATCCAGTCCATGGAGGAGCCGCAGATGGCTCTCTACCTCCAGGTGGGCGGAGAGGGAGGGCGGCAGGGGCCCAGGGTGGCGGGAATCAGGGCCCGGGGAGGCGGGTCAAGTCTTACCTGCGGTCGTTTCTTGTCACCACGACCTGGGAAAAGTCACCCTTCTACCCCCCCGCGCGCGCTCTCTCTTTCCTTAACGAATTGGGATATACGCCCCCACCTACCCCGCAGGACTGGTGAGAATCAGAAACGGGGCTTTGCCGGGGCTGGCCCAGCGCTCACCTCCGCCCCCCTTTTCTCCCCTGCAGCAGGCCAAGGAGCTGATCAACAAGTGAGTGGTCTGCGCGGTGGGAAAGGAAGGGACCCCGTGGATTCTTTCCTTCTGATCTGGGGATGGGCTTGGGGGGAGCGGAGGAGTCCCCCTGCTGAGCCCCGTGGCCGTCACAGGGTCGGGGCGATGTCGAAGGTGGAGCTGGCTGGACGGCCGGAGCCAGGCTATGAGAGCATGGAGCAATTCTCCGTGAGCGTGGAGCACGTGGCCGAGATGCTGCGGACCATCGACTTCCAGCCGGGTGAGGGAGCCCAGGGAGGGACTGTTCAGACCCGCGGAAAGGGTATGAGGGGGCCGCTCCAGCCAGAGGAGCAGGGGCTCCACATCACCAGGCCTGCCTTCCCCCTAGGCGCCGCCGCAGGGGATGAAGAGGATGACGAGGTGGCTTTGGACGGGGACGAGAGCAGCGCAGGGCTGGAGGAGGAGCGGCTGGACGGGCCAGAAGGTGAGAGTAGGACTAGAAGGAGTGAGAATGGTTGGCCGGTCTTGGGAGATTGCCTTTCCCGGCGGCCCCAGGACTTGCTGGTAGCCCCCACTCGCCAAGTGTCACTCAGCAGGAGCCCCAAAGCGCGCCCCCTAGCGCGCGGAGAAGCGCCCTCTCTTCCCACGGTCGGTTCCGCACGGGCTTTGGGGACTATGGTGGGTCCACGAGTAGGAGAAACCCAGCGGCCTGGGGAAAGCTGGCCGTCGGGGACTGGGGGGCTTGTTCTTCTGGAGCACCCGCCCACCCGAGCTGTCTTTCCCGGGAACAGGCCTGCACTGACCAGAGCCTGATCCAGAGCGCTCGCCTGCAGCGGGAGGCAAGGGAGGCTGAGGATCTGCTCGGCGGCGACCACCGTGCCACCCAGCTCGGCGTCCCGGCCCCCGGGAAGGGTCTCAATAAAGGACTCTTGCGTCCCACGTCCCTCGGCTCCTTTTCGTGGCCCCCTCCCAGCCTCGGCTGTAGAAGCAACCTCGCCCCCATTCTGCCCATTCACAACCCGAGATCATTTGAAGGGGAGGAGGTGAAATAATAAGCCCCTCGTGGGCAACTCCTTTACATCAGAGGTGGACCCCTGAGCCCGAGACCTCCGAAAGATGTCCGGGGTGGGATCTCAGGACCTCTGAGTTCCGGGATTTGGACGTGCTGGGGGAGGGGCGATGAGCCCCCAGGGACTTAACTGACAGCCTTCCCCTCCCACCCCACTTAGCATGCTTGTGTCTCCTACTAGTCTGGGGAGCCCCACTCCCCCCAGATTTCCCACCCTTCTGTAGTTTCCGGTGCGCCCCTCCACCCCCACGACAAAAGATAGAGGCTAAGCTCTTGGGCAGTTTTATTTAAAAAAAATAGCCACGCCGAGTGCTCAGGGTGACTCTGGGCGGCGCTGCACCGCGGGACTGAGCCAACCTTGGTCGCTCGCGCTCCAGCCCCGCGGTAGGCACGGGAAAGGGTCAAGCCTTTCGGGGGGGCCCCCCACACCGGGCGGATCACTTGCCCACCGAGTCGAGTATGATGCGGTTCTGCTCTGCGCGCTCGCGCTGACTCTGTGTCCGGGCCAGCTCCAGCAGGGTCCTCAGCAGGTGGAAGGTGAGGTCAATGGACAGCGGAGGGTCGCCCCGTCGCTGCCGCTCGCCTGCGGTCCCCGATCCTCCGGCGCGGCGCGGGAAGCGCTCGGCTAACAGCAAGAGGAGCGCGCGGGCGCCGCCGCCCTGATTCCGCGCCCCGGGACTCCATCGCAGACTCGGATCCTGGGCCCCGGTCGCCGCCGCCGCCGCCGCCGCCGCCGCCGCCGCAGTCGCCGGGCTCCACTGGCTGCTCCCGGGGCGCAGCTGTGCCAGGAGCAGCAGAGCCACTAGGAGCGCAGCGCGTCCCCTCTGCCTCATGGTGCCACCTGCCCTGGACACACAGGGGCAGCATAGGGTGAGGTGCGCTTGGAGCAGCCGCAGGTGACAGGAGCCCCTTCTCGCGCACGCCCAGTGCCCCCCGCTGGGACCCTCCAGCTGTTGCCTGGTGTCCACAGCCTGCCCACCAGCCCCAGCCGCTGCGCCAGTCCAGTTCCACCCCTCTCTCCCTCCTTCCCTCCCGGCGGGTCGCAGTGGGTGGGCTGAGTGCAGAGTCTTGGTGCTAAGGGAGTCTGGATCGTTGCTCCGAGCCACTCACAGGTTGTCCGAGTGTCTGCCCGGGGTAAGATGGAGGTCCAGTCTCTGTCCCCCGGGACGGGCTGAAGACGCCTTGGGGAGCACGGGGTCTGTCCCGGGACCGCCGCCAGCCTTATATAGCACCAGGACAGCTCCGACTGACGTCAGCGAAGAACATGAACTGATTGTAGAAGCAATGACAGCGGCAGCTTCGAGTCCAGCAGCTTCGAGCCCCCAGAGGGGCGCCCATCCTGACAATAGGTTGCGTGTCCCTGGAGCTAGTTTTGGAAGCACCCTGGCGTAGAGGAGGGAGAAGCCGGCTGAGGCATAAATTTAGACTGCTCTTTCCGGATATAGAGTTCTTCCCCCATACAGAATAGACAGAGTGTGTCTCCAGACCAGGCTAGTCCGGGGTTTTCTCTTCTCCAGGACCAAGAAGTGGGCAGGACCGTGGAGCTGTCCGTGGTCCTGAATTTATCCGCAGCCGAGGATCTGGCCAGAAGCTCTGGGGAGAGTCTTCCTGAGGCTGCTTAGACGCAGTCCCCAAGCCGGCTACCGGGTCCCCAAACTGAGATCAGGAATGCTCTGCCAGCATTCGACCAACACAGTGCCACCCAAAGGCCCGCTGCCCCAGTTGGTCTGTCAGGATTCTTGACCATCTTACAGAGGCAGAATCTAAAATCTACAGGTGTCAGATTGTGTATGACAGAAAAAGGGTTTGGCTGTCAGAAGTTAACGCACCAATCTATCCCTAGTTTGACAAAGTTAGCTTTTTTTCCTGGGAGCCACAGAAACAGTGCTATTATACCTTTTTACCTTCCAGTTAAGATCACTAGGTAGGAAGTGAGAAGATTTGGGCCCAAATTCCTGCTTTGCCATCAACTCATGGTGTGATCCGGTTCCTCCCTTCTGGAGACGTTGGTGTCTATCTTTGTAGATGAAGGCCAGGCTTGATCAGACTCCACTTCTTTCCAGCTATAGACATGTCTGTAGTCTTCCGAAGGGTTTTATCCATGACCTCTCCAGACTCCAGATAATAATGTATTTATTCCTGTGCCTGTAAAGACACTGAGAGGAGCCGGGCAGTGGTGGCGCACGCCTTTAATCCCAGCACTCGGGAGGCAGAGGCAGGCGGATTTCTGTGAGTTCGAGGCCAGCCTGGGCTACAGAGCGAGTTCCAGGAAAGGTGCAAAGCTACACAGAGAAACCCTGTCTCAAAAAACCCAAAAAGAAAAAAAAAAAAGACACTGAGAGGGTCTCAAAGGGCACTAGGACCCAGAAAAGTTAGAATGACAGACGTTCTAGGCTAAGGATGTAGCTCAGAGTACTTGACTAGCATGCAGAAGGCTGAGTTCAATCCTGAACACTGGACAGAAAGTTGTATCTATAGGAAGTGGGGATGAGCCAGGCAGTGGTGGCGAACATCTTTAACCCCAGCACTCGGGAGGCAGGGGCAGGTGGATCTCTGTGACTTAGAGGCCAGCTTGGTCTACAGAAGAAGTTCCAGGACAGTCAGAGCTACACAGAGAAATACTGTCTCAACAAACAAACAACAAAGTGGGGATGAGTACTCATTGTTGGGCTATGGGTGTAAAGTTGGCAAGGTCATCCAAGTATTTGTGGAATATATGCCATGTGGTAGGAATAAGCATAGTCATGCTGTATGATGATGACAACTTATACATTCGATGGCGGTGTCACATGATTACAACAGAGCTGAAACATTCCTACCACCTAGCAACGGTAGTGGTCACGTCGCTTTAGTTCATTATTCATGTATTTGTGATGATGCTGGTGGAGATAGTCTATGCTGGCAGGAACATGGAAGGATAGCTTGTGCCATTGTGTACAGTGGGTGCAACCTAATGATAAATGAAATGTTGCTGGTGTATGAATTTGCCAGATCTATCATTACTTTAGAACGTTCTACATCTGAAAAAAAAAAAAGTTCCCTGTAAAACGGTATACCGTGTTACAGTGGCAGCAGGAAGATACTTCTCATGTTTTCTGCATCTCACTGCATGTTAAGCATGCTTAAGCATGCCATGTTAAGCATCTGACTCTCGCTGTCTGTTTAAGTACATTCTATGATGTGTACACAAGGACAACATTGCTAAAGGACACAATTATCACAGTGTGTCCCCATCAGTAAGAGCCAGAGAGAGACCATTTTTTTTGTTTTATTAAGAAAGTTTTTTCATTCATTTTACACACCAGTCAAAGATCCCCCTCTTCCCTCCTCCCGCACCCCAGCCTCCACTCCCAACACATCCCCCACTCCCTCCCACAAGAAGGCAAGGGCCTCCCATGTGGAGGCACATTCAGTAGAGGCAAGTCCAAGCCCTTCCCCTTGCCTCGAGGCCGCAAGAGGTGTCCCATCATAGCCCACAAAGCCCGCTCACACACCAGGGATGGATTCTGATCCTACCACCAGGGGGCCTCCCTCAAAGACAGAGAAGAGGGAGTCTATGAGCGAGTGCATCGGGATCATGATGGGGAAACACGCAGGGATGACCAAACCAATCTAGAGGGAACTCATGAAAGTTGGATCAATGGCTGTGGAGCCTACGTGGGACTGGACTAGGCCCTCTGCATGGTGAGAGAGACAATGTTTTAAAGGTCTTAGTGATTTCAAAAGCAGTTACATTTTTAGAGTGAAATGTGCCATTTCAGAGTGGTGATTCTATCCTGATCAGCAACTCCATACCATGGAAACAGATAGACTTTTTTTTTTTGTAAGAAAGACTTTATTTTATGCTTAATTGTGAGTAAGTAATTGGTGTGTATGTGCGTGTGAGTGCAGATGCTTCAGCGGCCAGAAGAAGACATCAGATCTCCTGGGGCTTGGGTCACAGGTGGTTGTGAGCCACCTAATGTGGCTGCTGGGAACCAAACTTGGCTCCTCTGTAGAGCAGTCCGTGCGTCTGAACAGGTGAGCCACCTCTCCAGTCCTGATGTACTCTCTTTGAGGATACTGTCCAAGCATTCCAGGGTGAAGGTGCATCAGTGCAAGATGCAAGCCATGAAACCAGGCAGGCTTAGAGCTGATGTGCCTTCCAGGATAGGTAGGAGTTCCAGACAATAGCAACACACTGGACAACAGCCAACCTAGGGAATAGGACACTACCATGAAGAGGAGAATGGGCAGGATAGGAAGAGTAATGGAAAAGGACTTAGAAGTTGCAGGTTTGGGCCTCCTTCCTTTGAGCCCCATGGAGGAGGGACTGTATAGTTTGGGCCAGGGGACAACCAGTCCTGCTCTACCTCAGAGCTCTGCCTCTCAGATGAAGCCTCAAAGCTTAAATACCACCCACCCGGCTCACCCCTTTACTTATTAGTTCTGCATGTGTGTCTACGCATGCACATGGAATTCAGAGGACAACTTTGGGAGGTGGTTCTCTTTCCACCATGTGGGTTCCAAGGAATGAGCTCAGGTCATCAGGTCATCAGGTTGGCAGGAAGAGGTCTGACCCACTGAGTCATCCCACCGGTCCACCAGAACTCTCCTTCCACAAATGACTCGTCATCCGTGCTCTAGCTAGACCTTTCCAAATATATCTGTACACCTGATACCAGCCAAGATGTCACTTCCAAAAATAATGCACTACCTGTCATATAAAGTAGCCACATTCATTCATTCATATATATATATATATATATATATATATACATATATACATATATATATGAGATACACACATACACACACACACACACACACATATATATATATATATATATATATATATATATATATGATTTATTTATTCACTCTCAGGCTCTCATATAGTCCAGGCTAGTCTTGAACTCTTGTAGTCTTGAACCAAAGACAGTCTTGAATTCCTGATCCTCCTGCCTCTGGCTCTTTAGTGTTCTGGTAATACGTATGCACCCTCATGCCTGGCCTTTTTAAAAAAAATTTTATGTGCATTGGTGTTTTGTCTGCATATGTCTGTGTGAGAGTGTCAGAACTTGGAGTTACAGACAGTTGTGAGCTACCATGTGGGTGCTGGGAATTGAACCTGGGTCCTCTGGAAGAACAGTTGGTACTCTTATAACCACTGAGCCACCACTCCAGCCCCATGCCTGGCCTTTTACAGAAGACTCAAGCCTGGTTCTGAACACCCACACCTGACAGCTCACAATGGTCTGTAACTCCAGCTCCAGGGAATCCAGTGTTGTCTTCTGGTGTCTGTACAATCTGCACACACATGCATATAGCCACACACATTAAACAAAGTAGTTTTTTGTTTGTTTGTGGCAGGGTCTCACTGTGTAGCCCTGGTTAGCCTGGAAACTCACTATACAGATCAGGTTGGCCTTGAATTCATAGAAAGCCAACTGTCTTTACCTCTGAGTGCTGGAACTAAAGGCGTGTGCCACCCAGCAAAATTTTTTTTAATCTTTTTTTTTTTCAAAGATTTATTTATTTATTATGTATACAGTGTTCTGCTTGCATGTACATCTGCAGGCCAGAGAGGGAACCAGATCTCATTGTAGATGGTTGTGAGCCACCATGTGGGTGCTGGGAATTGAACTCAGGACCTCTGGAAGAACAGCCAGTGCTCTTAACCTCTGAGCCATCTCTCCAGCCCCAATTTTTTTTTAATCTTAAAAAAAATAAATAAATAAAAATCTTAAAATTTGTACTTATGCCGGGCGGTGGCACATGCCTTTAATCCCAGCTCTCGGGAGGCAGAGCCAGGTGGATCTCTGTGAGTTCGAGGCCAGCCTGGGCTACAGAGCGAGATCCAGGACAGGTACCAAAACTACACAGAGAAATCTTGTCTCAAAAACCAAAAAAACAAACAAAAAAAATTGTACTTATTTTTAATTTATGCTATTTTATCAATTTAAATATATATATATATATATATATATATATATTTTTTTTTTTTTTTTTTTTTTGGTTTTTCGAGACAGGGTTTCTCTGTGTAGCTTTGCGCCTCTCCTGGAACTCACTTGGTAGCCCAGGCTGGCCTCGAACTCACAGAGATCCGCCTGGCTCTGCCTCCCAGTGCTGGGATTAAAGGCGTGCGCCACCACCGCCCGGCTCTATATTTTGTTTTTAAAACGTTTTTTGAGGGGCTGGGCAGATGGCTCATTGATCAAGAGACTTACCACTCTTTCAGAGGACCTGGGTTTAGTTCTTGGCATGCACATGGTGGCTCACAATGGTCTGTAAATTCAGTTCCAGGGTATCTGACACCCTCTTCTGACCTCCCTGGGCACCAGGCATACATGGGATGCACATATGCAGGCAAGATATCCATATACAAATAAGTAAAAGTTTTTTGTTTTTTTTTTTGGTTTTTCGAGACAGGGTTTCTCTGTGTAGCTTTGCGCCTTTCCTGGAACTCACTTGGTAGCCCAGGCTGGCCTCGAACTCACAGAGATCCGCCTGGCTCTGCCTCCCGAGTGCTGAGATTAAAGGCATGCGCCACCACCGCCCGGCTCTATATTTTGTTTCAAAACGTTTTTTGAGGGGCTGGGCAGATGGCTCATTGATCAAGAGACTTACCACTCTTTCAGAGGACCTGGGTTTAGTTCTTGGCACGCACATGGTGGCTCACAATGGTCTGTAAATTCAGTTCCAGGGTATCTGACACCCTCTTCTGACCTCCCTGGGCACCAGGCATACATGGGATGCACATATGCAGGCAAGATATTCATATACAAATAAGTAAAAGTTTTTTTTTTTTTTTTTTTTTGGTTTTTCGAGACAGGGTTTCTCTGTGTAGCTTTGCGCCTTTCCTGGAACTCACTTGGTAGCCCAGGCTGGCCTCAAACTCACAGAGATCCGCCTGACTCTGCCTCCCGAGTGCTGGGATTAAAGGCGTGCGCCACCACCGCCCGGCTAGTAAAAGTTTTTTTGGGCAGGACCTAGTGTGTCTCAGGAGGGTCCTGACCTCCTACTCTTCCTACTTCTACCTCCTAAGTGCTGAGGTGCCAGCATGAGTTACTATAACTGGCCTAGGCAGGCCTACTTTAAAATAACCTTGCTCAAGCGTGGTGATATGTCTGTAATACCAGCATTCAGGTGACTGAGGTGGGACTGTAAATTCGAGTTTAGCCTGGCTATTAAGACTTTGCATCAAAAAAATTCGTTAACTTTGTAGGCATTACAAAAATAAATAGCAGGGTAGATGTACCTAATTGTACTATACTGTATCTTTGCTCAGATATTAAGTCTAATTCATTCATGCAATAAATAGACCCAGTTTGTACTAATTCTGAACTTACTCGGAGTGAATAAGAATAAATCTAGGCTCTTTTATCTACTTTTAAAAAAAACCTTGCTTTAGTTTTTTTGTTTGTTTGTTTTGGTTTTTCAAGACAGGGGTTTCTCAGTAGCTTTGCGCCTTTCCTGGAACTCACTCTGTAGCCCAGGCTGGCCTCGAACTCACAGAGATCCGCCTGCCTCTGCCTCCCGAGTGCTGGGATTAAAGGCGTGCGCCACTACTGGCTGGCTTTTGTTTGTTTTTTTAAGACAGGGTCTGTCTATGTATCGGCTGTCCTGGAACTCACTATGTAGACCAGGCTGGCCTCAAACTCACAGAGATCCACCTGCCTCTGCCTCCAGAGTGCTGAGATTAAAGGCGTGCACCCGGATGACCTTGCTTTAGTGCTACCAAGGACTGATGTTTAGGATTTAGCTCACAAGTCTGTATTCTTTCCAGTTAAGCTGTTTGTGTAACTGTCAATCACATTACCTCTGAACAGTTTCATATTTTCCTGTGTTCTGAAGACCCCTCATTCTTCCAGCCCCCTTTGAATGCCACTCTTAAATTTTTTAATTTTAGATTTACTTATTTTTATGTTAGGTTTATAGGTATTTTATCTGCATGTATGTGTGTGCAGTGCCCATGGAGGCCGGAATAGGATGTAGAATCCTCTGGAACTGGAGTTACATACAGTTGTGAGCCACCATGTGGGTGCTGGGGATTGAACCTGGGTCTTCTGAAAGAGCAGCAAGTTCACCAGGCAGTGGTGGCGCACACCTTTAATCCCAGCACTTGGGAGGCAGAGGCAGGTGGATCTCTGTGAGTTCGAGGGCAGCCTGGGCTACAGATCGAGATCCAGGACAGGCACCAAAATTACACAGAGAAATCCTGTCTTGAAAAACCAACCAACAAACAAAAGCAGCAAGTTCTCTTAATTACTGAACCATCCCTCCAGAACTTCTTCTTCTTATTATTATCATCATAATCATCATCATATTTTGGTTCTTTGAGACAGGGTTTCACTATGTAACCTTGGCTGTCCTGGAACTTGCTCTGTAGACCACGCTGGCCTTAAAGGTGGGATTAAAGGTGTGCACCACCACCACCTGGCTTTTTTTTAATTGCATTTCAGCAACAAGCTTTATTACTAGGACAAAATAATCTCCAAGGCGAACTAACCAGATAAGGCTCCTACTTAGCCTTCGACTCTACCTTTCTGTCTAACTTAGGCCTCCGTGTCCCACAGCCAGGCACCGTCCCTGCATACGAGCCACCAAACATGGAACTCGGGTGGAATGGAAAAAGGTTTGTGGGAGCCAAAGCCTTCCAGGGGAGCTGACAGGTCAGCCAGGGGCACTCTAAGATGGTCTCTGTAAAGGATCAAAGGTTTTAAATGAAATGCTGGAGACCCTGAGGAGGCCCGACCAGGACACAGTGAACTGGCTGAAGTCCTGAAGTAGGCCAAGGTTAAGATGACTACCATTGTGTCTCCAACTGAGAAATGGAGATCTCCCTTCAAGGGTGGGGTAGGGAATCTGTCATACCTGTAATGCAGGGGGACCAGGTAGAAGTTGGCTAACTGCACAGCAGGCCAGAGCTATAAGGAGAAAATGGGAAGGTCAGTGGGTGCCCGCTCCCTGACACCAACTCCCCGTCCAGCCTGGCCCCCCTCCACACAAGAAAAGGCTGAAGGTGGGTGTTTCCCCGGTCAAGGTACCCATGTGGAGAAGGAGAGAGTGATCTTAATAGAGGAATTCCTATGCTACGAGGGCCCCAACCTCAGGGCACTTCTGGACTAAAGGAGGCCGAACAGCTAGTGAGGGGTCAACTCTTACGTAGTAATTGGTGATGAGAGCATCAGGATAGTCCTGCAAAGAAGGAGGGAACAGTTAACACTCACATATCGAAGTAGCTGCCACAGCCCTGCATGAAAATCACACACACAGACGCTGTTCCGAGAAGACAGTCCTGCCCCAACGCCCCTCGGCTCCTTTCTGCCCGAGCCCAAGCCTCCCCTTAACATCACTTATGCCTGCCTCCTCCCTTGGGGCAACTAGCCTGCTAGCCAGAGAGCCACTTACCCGCTTTAGTTTGGCCCAATTGTCCTGGGCTGACATTCCGTTGAGTACCCCTACCAGGGGGAGGAAACAGCCTAGAAAACACGGGGCAAAGGCCCCCTAGGGAAGAGGAATCAAGTGAAAGCTGAGTGCCCACAGCCCCAACCAGGCTCTCCTCCCCTACTCCCTTTTCCTTAGCTCACCTGATCTAACAACATCTTCTTCAGTGCGTCCACCTTGGTGGTGCCGGGGATAAGGCGGTCCAAAACCCTATACCAGCCTCCGACTACAGGGCCCTAGGAGCAAAAAACAGGGCGGCAGGGCACAGTGACGGACCCTTGGCTTCTCTGTCACCAAGCTCCTCCCCAAGACAGCAGAAACCAAATCCTGAGGAAGGTAGACTCTAAGAGGAAAAGAGGGCACAGGCTGGCCTCGGTGTGAGCGGCCGATGGGCACTACAGGGTGGCAGAGAATGATTTCCACTGCCCAAGGTCCTGCAGTTCCACTGTAAGAGAACTTACCACAAAGCCACAGCCCATGGACACCATGGTCAGGGTCCGGCCTGTCTGGTGTTCCTGGAGACCCCGCCTCTCCACCAGTTGCTGTGAGATAATGTCACCTAGGCCCATCAGTGACCCTGTGCAGGGTACACAGGTGTTATCAGGACATCTCCCAAAAGGTAAGTCTGTTGACCAAATGAGGCTCGGCACTCTGAGACCTGGGACTTTGTTCTGGCAAATGACCAAGCCTTTCTTGCTGCCTTGAAGCCCTCTGCTTAAGGATAGGGTGACATCTCTCAAGTGCCCTTTCAAAAACTGGCAGGGCATGTCTGGCATCCCAGCACTTGGGAGGCGGAGGTAGGATTGTTATGAGTTTGAGGCCAGCCTGGGCTACACAGGGAGTCCCAGTCCAGTCAGGGGTACACAGTGAGACCACATCTTAAAACAAACCATGAAGGAAGAGGAGGCAGAAAAACACAGGAGGTGAGCAGGCCAGGATCTGTGAACATACAGTAAGTTGTAAGGGAACCAGGGCTGAAACCCAGATAGAAGAAAGGAAATCTAAAGTCTATGGCTAAGAACTGCAGAGACCAGGATTGAAAGGGCCTCCCAGAGCATTCCATCTATTCTATTCTATCTATCTATCTATCTATCTATCTATCTATCTATCTATCTATCTATCTATCTATCTATCTATCTATAGATATAGATATCTTATTCTAGAGGTGTGGGAATGAAGGTCCATGACTTCATAGAGCTGGTAATAGAGAACCAGGTAGCTTGACTCCTAGACACTATTCTTTTGAGGACCCCCAAAGACTAACAGACTCTGTGCAGGAGAATAAAAAAATAGTCTCTACTTCCTGCAAGCTCAAAGCTAGACCTGGCCAATGTCTTTTGCTTTGGTCTTAGGGGTCTTTATTGATAGATAACAGTATGGATAACTCTTTCTAAAATGTGCTCAAACAGTGCCAGGGAAGATGTTGACTTGTTTTGATAATAAGAGCCTCCTTCCCAAGGAAGAGTCCTGGCCACCGATTATACACACAGGAAGACAAGCCCAGACTCTCCTTTCACACCCTTGAGTTGGCTATTGGACTTAGAGCCATTTCCCCTCAGACCTCTGCCCCTGTTTCCCCTCCCCTAACTGCATAGACACCCACTCCTAGAAGCCAAGACAGAATTGGAATCATCACTATTTAAAGCTTCCAGCTTGTCATGATGGCGTGATGGTTTCTAACAAACAGTCACAGGGCCGCTTGGGAGTGACCGGATGATCTCCAGCTCTCCCATCCATCTCACTGAGTAATGAGAGTCCCCTCTAGCCCCGGAGCCACCACTGTCCCCATGACCTCAATTAGCACTGGGCAAACACATCCTTCAACCCCATTCCTTGGTCTGGAGCTGGCTCTGACGTCCATGCTGACTGCACATACAGCTCTGTTCCCCCCCACACACACACACAGCCTCTCCTACAGCACTTCCTCAGACCAACCTAGTCAGAGTCAGCTGGGGAAAGCTAGGAGCTAGAGCCAGTGATAGGCAACCCTAGGTGACCCGGGCAGCTGGCCATCAGGCAGTTCTTCATTTTAGCATCCCATCAAGTCCGTGCTGCCTTTCCCGCCCCCACCAAACTCCCCCAAACAGTCAGGCCTGGTCTCCCCAAGGGCAAGGTCAGAATTCCTGGAGGTTGGGAGTGGGTGGCCAGAGTAGACTCCTAGACATGTTTGTTGTCGTCCTCACACATAACCAAGCCCCTGATAGGTGCTCAGAAAACAGTCAAACAAAAACCCACAGCCCCAAACAACCAGATTGCTTGGGGGAAAGGCACAAAGAACTCTAAGCTCAACCTGAAGAATTGTGTCAGGCACCGAGTGTTAGGGTGTCAGGGAACCCAGAGTGTGCTCCCCGTCAGTTACACTTCCCTCAGCCCCACTGCCTCCCAGTGTGTGGCCATCAGCTGTGTGCTCGGGGCTCTCTTCAGGACTCTCTCCTGGACTATGCATAAAGGGGAAAAAATGACCCTATGAAGGCTGAAGGCACTTGGGAAATGAAGGGACAACAGTCCACTTTGATAAGATAGTGACAGTTCACAAAGGACTCAATTAGTCCTCACAAAAGGTCTGGGAAGTAGGCAGCCACAGGTCCATCTAACTAAGGAGTCTTTGAAAGATGGAGTGACCTAGTAAGGAGTAGAGTTTGGATCAACTCAGGCCAGGGGCACAAGGCCAGAGCATAGGCAGAAGCAGGCTCAGAGGCCACAGGCTACCCTATCCAAGTAATGTCTAAAAGATCCACATAGGGAAGAAGTGTCCTGAGCAGGCACAGTGGCACATGCTTGTAATCTCAGCTCTTGGGAGGCAGAGGCACAAGGATTGTTTCAAGCTCAAAGAGAGCATGGTCTACATGGTGAGTTCTAGGCCCGACAGGGCTATGTGTTGAGACCTTGTCTAAAGCAAAACCAAATAAAAAATAGGGAAAAAAAAAAAAAAAAAAAAGATCAGGGGCTGGAGAGACGGCACAGTAGTTAGTTATTAGCATTTGTTGCTCTTGTAGAGGACCTGGGTTTGGTTCCCAGCACCCACGTGGCAGCTCACGACCATTTCTAAGTCCAGTTTCAGGTGATCTATTGGCCTCTTCTGGTCTCTAGGGACATTAGGCACAGTTGTGATGCACACACATACATGTAGGTGCATACACACTTAAGAACACTAAAAAGCTTACTACGTACTCATGCACTGCTGTATTACCCCCAGACTATCCCCTCTGTTCCTTATTATCCATAGGGAAGGCAGGCAGCAATATTCTCAGAAAATTGATATGTGCGTATTTCCTCTCTTCATGATTTATCAATAGTTATACAAACTAAAGGCAGAACTGTAATGAAAACCAATTTACCGATGCCATGGGCCTGGAAGCCTTCAGCCATTGAAAAAGGACTACCTGTGGTGTCCTGGTGTCCACAAGAGTAAGTGGAAGTCCCCTCTCATAGGTTGTTTGTTTGGAGGGGTGAGTCCCTGGCATATTGATGATGAGTAGCCCATATGTGTTTGTACTTAGACCATCTGATTCCTGGGTGGCAGGGGAATGGGGAAGGACTCCCCCTTTAGTTAAAGTGTGTCCATTATATGATGCATGCGGGCTGCAGCTCCTGATTGCTTAGGGAACTTGGATAAACTTCCTTTGGGGAGGTGAAAGTGACCTGTACAGACTCTCAGACAGTCGTAGTATGGTGCCTGTTTTTTCTTCCACAGTAAGAGTAGGGAGCAAAGCTGGCGTGTGTGAGCACTGTTTGAGTATCCCCTAACCCGAACCTTTGAGTCTGGGTCCCAGACTGCACCCATCAAGTCTGAGGCAGAACCAGGTGACATGCCATCTTCAGAGCAATGACCTGAGGAGGGACTCTGTAGGCCCACCCAGGTCTGTTCATTTCTGACATAACAGTATCCTGAAGCTTGTCTTCTGTTCATAGGAGATTATGGCCACTGGACCTGCAACAACTCCAGGATGGCCGAAGACTTTGGCCCACACCAAGAGCAAGACCTGCATTCCTGGCCCAAGTGAGCCTTCCTCAGGAAGGACTCAAACATCCAAACCCTTTCCTGTTGTCTCCAGCCCAACACCCAAACACCCAAACCACTCCGATATCTGGTTAACCAGGATGGCGTAGTGATCTGGTTCCTCTCTCCTTGGACTTGAGAGTCGGGAGTGGGAAGTCTCAAAACACATCATGTCCAGAGCCCTGGTGGGCCAGGGTGAGAGGTTGCTGGGCAGTAGTGCCCCAAAGCCAAGCTGGGCACAGAGCCTAGTGAGTAGATACTGGTTCTGAGTATGACATCATGCCTCTGGGCAGATGCCAGTTCTCATTCGTCACTCCCCACTGGGGGAGGGAGGGGCCGGGGGATGTTTGGCTCTGGACATTGATCTACTTGAGACCATCCCTGCCCATCAATGGAAAAGCCCCAACCTGCCCACCCCCTTCCAAGGCGTGAGTAGAGTCAAATCTCCTGCTTTCCCCTTTATTCCTACACTTGCTTTTGGAAAGTCTTATGTGCAAGAAAATAAAAGTGTTGATGGAAGATGAGATGCAGATGGGCAGGAAGTGGCTTCCTGAAATGAGAGGAAGCATCCCTTTAAATATAGGAGGTGGGGTCTGCGGGGAAAGCTATTCCTGGCACTGAGCCAGAAGTGCTGCTGACTAAGGGGCCTCCTAGCTGCTGCAGGAGCTTGACCTGAGCCAGAGCCTGGGGCAGCTGAAGCTCCATTGAGAAGGGAAACATATTCCCTGGTACGGGTCTAAGTGCTCAGCTCACTCCTGTCCACAAGCATCCTGTTGAAGAAAATGAGACAAAATGCCCAGTCCTGCGGCTTCTCATGGTTAAACTCAGCTGGGTGGACACTCAGTGTCCCGAGGCCCCAGTGACTCAAGGACAGGTAGCGGTGCCCAGATTCTAATGCCAGGTCTAGAACTGTGCGTGTGACACCTAAGCACACGTCATACCCTGCTTATGCCTCCGTTTCCCTTTCTGCAGCACCAAGGTCCCTGAGACTCACATTCTGGCTTAATTCAGGTCCCAAGGAAATCTGCCTACAGTCTAGCGGCTCGGGTGGCCTGCAATGGATGGAACTGGGCCCTGGGCTCTGGGCCCACTGGAGACTGGAAGAGCCCTCCAGAAAGGAAGGGATAAGCTGACTCAGACTCTGCAGAACACACAGTCAACCTTTCCCCCAGGCTGCCCTGGTCGTGACTCTGGCTTGGCCCAAAAGTGGTGTATTGGCCACTTCCGCTGAACCACTGCAGATCTTGATTCCCCTGCCTCCTGCTCTAGCCATGACTGCAGTTGAACCAGATGGCTTCCTTCAGGCCCGTCATACCCAGGGTCTCACCATTAATGCCTTTGGGGACCACACATGTGCGAAAAGGTAGTAGAGGAGTTGAGTGTTCCCTGGGGTAAAATGCTGGCCAGTGTGAGAAGGAAGCCAGTGGATTAAGGCCTCTTCTCCAGAAATAACTATTCATCCGATAAGGCATTTCAATTTGCTTTTTAGTCGGTTCCAAGGTATGGAGCCCAAGAAGCCCTGAAGGGCGGCTGATTTAATAACGCACCCTTCATACCGCTCTACCTCTTGCCCTCGGGAGGGATTACCTTCTAACCTGCACATAAGCTTCAGGCTCTGCTGCTCGGAAGAGCAAGGCCAAGATAATCATCCATAAGCTGGGCATGGTGCACGTCTATGATCTAGGCACTTGAAAGGCTGAAGTAGGAGGACTGATGAGTTCAAGGCTAGCCTTAGCAACACAGGAAGTCTAAAGCAAGACTGAGCTGCGCAGTGAGATTCTGATTGAAAATAACCAGCCTTGGGTTGGAGAGATGGCCCAGAGGTTAAGAGCACTGGCTGCTCTTCCAGAGATCATAAGTTCAATTCCCAGCAACCACATGGTGGCTCACAACCATCTATAATGAGATCTGGTGCCCTCTTCTGACATGCAGGCATACATGTATGTATAATGAATGAATGAATAAATAAATAATCAGCCCTGGCATAGTGGCATACGCCTTTAACCCCAATACTTGGGAGGCAGTCTGGTCTACACAGTGAGTTCCAGGACAACCAGGGCTACACAGTGAGACCCTGCGTCAAAATAAACAAACAAACAAACAAGTAAATAAATGGGAAATAATTAAAAGATACTTTTCCATGTTTAGATTTGGGGAAAATGGAACAAACCCATTCTATAAAAAGAGGAGTCTGCTATACACGAATTGTCAATAATCATAGGAAGGGCCAAGTCCTTGAACCTTCAAGTTTATTGTACATTAAAAAAGTTACAAGCCGGGCAGCAGTGGCACACACCTTTAATCCCAGCACTCGGGAGGCAGAGGCAGGAGGATCTCTGTGAGTTCGAGGCCAGCCTGGTCTACAGAGTGAGTTCCAGGACAGGCACCAAAACTACACAGAGAAACCCTGTCTCAAAACCAACAAACCAACAAAGTTCCAGTCAGTTCCAGGAGAGAACTGATTTCATGCACGTAACCCATGTGCTCTAACACACATACTATAAATAATATAAAAAAACAATAAAAGGCACAAGAGGATAGGCATGTCGTCCAGAGAGAGCGTCCTTGCTAGCATGTGTGAGGCTGTAGCTTCCATCTTTAGTACTGTGAGTAAATAAATAAATGACACTTTCTTAGCTGCTTCTCGGAGATAATTCCCCTAACTGACCTTTCAAGTTCTAATTGAGGAAACTGAGGCCCAGAGGTTTATTGATGTGGACTAATTAGGCAGCTACTAAGTGCTATGCTCTGAGATTCAGATCTTGGCCTTCCAGTTCCAAGTCTGAAATCTCTGTTGTGTTTCCCGGTGTGAGCTATCCCACGGGACCTCTGGAGCCACTGTACTCAGAAAACAGTCCAAAATGGTAAGGCGAGCTAAGCCCACCCCACCCTTTATCTGTAGGTCTGTCCAAAGAGCCTGAGCAGCAAGGAAGGAAGTCTGAGAGAAATGTTAGGAGGCTACAGGTTGCTTCAGGACCAAACAAGGATGCAGCGGTGTCAGGAGAAACAGACATATGAGACCATGTAAAGAGCATGCCACAGACACACCAGGCAGCCCAGTTAACCCCAGTTCTGCACCTGCACCCCTGAAGCTTTAGTTCCTGCCTTTGTCGGCTACAGATCACCTAGGTAGGGAAATATGACTGTCCTGCCCTCTCCGCTCTTGATGGCCGAAAGGGGGGACCTTTCTATCTGGCAGCCAGGGGCCCCGAGGGAATCTGAGGCTGGGCAAAGGGCCCAGCGTGTCAGTTCCCATCACAGCCACACGGTCCAGTATGAGTCACCACACACTCATCCAGGTGAGTCATGCGGGCCGGACACTCTGAGGACAAGAGGTGGATGGGCACAGGATGCTATCGAGGGGCTAGGGAGGAGCACAGGGGTCCACCTCCCGGCCAGTCACGTAGTGAGCGTAGTTTCTAATGCTCACGTAGGGCCCTTCTGCTAACAGGACCGCCGCTCTCCGCGGGCCTTTAGCCTCGCTCTTTCCTCACAGAAGCCCACAGCCCTCCTTAGAATACAGGGTCTTTCTCTAAACACAGGCAAGGCATGTTTGTGACCCGATCTCTGATGGTCAGAGGATTGATGATGCTTCCCTGTCCTGTCCCCTTGTCCTGGCAAAGTGAAGGTGGGAACCGCTGCTGCTTCATCACTGGGTGTGGAGTAAGAAGGCCATAATAAAAAAAATACTAAGGAAAAATAAACTGGAGTAAGTTACTTCAGCACTTAGGTGTGTGATCGACTAACATGGACTCAAGTAATCTAACCAACAGAACTTTGGAGGCCCCTATGACACAGTGTATGTGTATGAATGTGCTGGGCACACTATGAAATGCAGGAGGACAACATTTAGCTTCTCAAGGTGGGCAGTCTCCTGGGGGCAATGCTTTTAAGAATGGACTATTTATGCCAGGCAGCGGTAGCACACCCCTTTAATCCCAATATTTGGGAGGGAGAGGCAAGTGGATCTCTAAGTTGAAGGCCAGCCTGATCTACAGAGTTCCAGGACAGCCAGGGTTATTCAGAGAAACCCTGTATTGAAAAAACAAACCAAACCAAACAAACAAACAAGACTACTTAGGTTTGTGAGGACTTTAAGTATTACTGGACAGAACCATGTGTCTCTTTTCACTTTCAAATTATTTGAAATTATGTGTGTGTGGAGTGGGTGCAAGCGAGTGTAGGCGCCCCAAGTGGCTGGAGGTGACAGATCTCCCTGGAGCTGGAGTTACAGGTGGCCCTAAGCCACCTGATATGGGAGTTGGGTCCTCCTCAAGAGCAGGAGGTGCTGTTAACTTCTGCGCCATCTCTCTAGCGCCCTAGTGTGTATATTTTAGGAATAGCTTTGGGACCTCGCCCTCCAAAACAGAATAATTCGAGGTGAGAGGAAGTCAACCCCTCCAGGAGGAAGTGGGTGCCGCAATGTGGGCCTCTTCCTCCTCAAATCCCAGAGAGACTCACCAGCTGTCAGAACCTGGACCTTCCACGGATGTGCAGCCAGGGCCCTCTGGTATGCCCGCCAGAGTGCCATGCCTCCTGTCAAACAAGAGGACACGTCACTCCCACTGCCCCTCCTCACGGTGAAGAACACGCCCGCCGTTTCCTATGCTAACTCTCTCCACTTTCAAAACCTGCAAGTGACAGAGGCCTCGGGAAGGCTGCTTACTGGGCGGTGTCCTGCCTCCCGATCTCTGTAGACAACTGGAGAAGGGGCAGTCGGGTAACCTTAGAATTCCCGGAGGCTGCCTCTGCCACCCCAAACCCGGTCCTGAAGCAAGGCTGCCTGGGGCCTCCAGACCCGATCCAGACACTCACGAGGTCAGGTTTACTCTAGCTTCCATCTAGTCTAGGTCCTCCCCTCACCCCAAGGAAACACGATAGGTCTCCGAATCCAGACTCAGCTGGAACTAAACTGCATTCTGAGTGCAACTCCACACCGGAAATACACCACGATCTGGGGCTGGAAGGTCACATGACCTGCAGGAGCTCATGGCCCTCAGCGCTTCACACTACTGACGACCAAAAATCCTCCACTCACCTGAATGCTAGCAATGCGTAGAACCTTCTCCCACGTGACAGGAGTTGGCCGAGAGACTTCCGTACCGAGCCCCGCCCCTTCCGTCCGCATGCTGCTGTCGTTTGGACACTTGTAGTCCAGGAGAATGTGACTGGGACCCTTGATACCCGGTGGAAGGTGGCTCAGTCGGCCACCTAGCGGGCAGCCCCCTTTTCATGGACTGCACCAAAGACCGTGTGGGACCTGGTCCGTGCTTCCCTATACCTCGTCTGGTCCCCGGCTCCCAGGCTGCCAGCCAGGTCTGCACTGCCCCAGTCTCCCCGAGCTGCTAGCCAGGTCTGGACTCCCTTCTGTTTGGAAACTTCTATGTTGGATTCAGACTTGGTCTATTTTTGTGCTCCATACCAAAACGTTTTGTCCGAAATACCTTTTTTAACATGCAGGCAGCTTCCACAAGAACCACCGGCATAGCAGAATTTGAGAGCCCAATGTAACAGGCTGCATGGCCTTTGTCATGAGTTTGTAAAATGACGGGCTTCCAGTGTGCCTCTCAGGACTCCCAAATTCTAGAGATGTGCAAGAGGGGGCTCAATGGAGTTTTTTGTTTTAAATGTGTTTCTAGAGTTATTTTAAGCAAAGAGGCATACAACTGTTTGAAAACCAGTTTAGGGAATCTAAGTCTCTTTCCAACTGTAACACCTTAAGAATGTATCTATTCTCAAGTCTTGAGAAAGCTCAACCTTTCTGTTCTCCATGTGGCTACTCCCAGGTCATTTACTCAATTCCTGTATGATTCCTGGAGGGTGGATCCTATTAACTACTAGAGAATAAGGACTGAGTGGAATTCAGACTCTTGTGTACAGAACATGCTAAAGGAATTTACAGCAGTAGATGTAATAAGAGACCAAATGTGCAAGATTGGAAGTGTTTTTAAGCAAGAATGTATGGATTCAAATCTCTGTGCCAGTTTTGGTAGTTATGTGACCTTATTCAGATTGCTTAATCTTTCAGAATCTAATGATTACATAAAATAGTCTATACCCCATAGACTATGTATGTATGTCTGTAATGTATGCAAAGCACCCAAAACAGAGCAAATTTATCCATCCAGCCTTCTCCTCTGAAGCACATGGAGTCCCGTCCTTGTCCACCCCCACACTGATTGGAGAAATGCAAAAAGTTCCCTGGTGAAAATTGACCTGTTTTTGTTTTTTTGTTTGGAGGGGAGAGGGTATGGGGGGTGGGACCTGAACCAAGGGACTTGTACATGCTAAGCACACGCTGTTCCACTGAGCTCTAATCCCAGTCCTGAGATGGGACCGTGAAGGATGAACAGGGTTTAAGGGATGCTGGGAAAAGACAACTGGAGAAGACATCAAACTAAGTAAGACACAGGGAAGAAAGAGCAGGAATAAGGGGTATAAAGTGGATAACTGGGAAGGAAGGAAGGAAAATGAAAAAAGCTTCACGGGAAAGAAAAGAACAGGGCAGGAAACATGGTCCACATTTCCTTCCGAGTTCAAGATGAGGGCTGACTAACACCGGAGCAGGGCTCCGGCACCAGCCTACACCTCAGCCTTTAGTGCCCACGCCCCCACCTTCTCTGCCACTCAAGTAGGAAACACGGATGTGCTGTGTCAAGGGGTTGCTCTGCAGGACGAGCCAGGCTTCTCTGCAATGGAAGGCACTTCTTTATTAGTTCAAAAAGCACGCCTGACAGCCTGAGCTGGATCACAACAGAGTGGTACAACACTCGGCTCCTTCAAACCAACGCGGGCTGTGGTCCTTCTGCTGCTTAAGGACCTGAGTGTCCTACAGGCCTGCTTCCTCTTCTGTACAGGAAGGGGACTGAACTACTTGATGCTCTTCTGAGAGATTTTCTGGCATTTGACAAATCTTCTATACTACTCAGGCAGAAAGCTGTTCCCAGACATGACAGACCAGTCTTGAGTGCTCTAAAGTCTAGATTTTGTTTCAGGCAATACTAATGTAGACTGCATCCCTTCCAAGAGGAAGCAGTGACCTGTTTGTTTCCTATTTCCTAAGATGGTCTAACTACTTCCTCCCAAACCTCAGCCTGTACTGCGTGTCCCATGGCTGTGATCTGGCGATCTCACATCACTGGGGCTGCCGGTGCTTTGGAGGCAGGATCAGTCACGTGAGGTGCAGCTATCCACAAGAGGACTCTATCCAGATGACAATACATTATTGGGTTCTAAATACTTTCTATACAGAGTTTAAACATGTTTAATACGTCAACAATGTGACCATATCATGAAGATCAAAAATCATGACTTGTAAAAGAATGATTGAAATAACTAAAGATATTTAATCTAGAGAAAAAAATGACTTGGGAAACACATGATAGCTACTGTTAAGTACTGAAAAGGGCACTCACAGGGAAGAATGACTAGATCTCCTAACACCCATTAGTAAATTAATAGAGGTATACTCTTGACTTGATATAAAGGAAGATTTTTTTTTTTCTTACTTTTTGGTTTTATGAGATAGCCCAGACTGAATGCAAAATTGTGAACCTCCTGCCTCGGCCTCCCAAGTGCTGGGATTACAGGTGTGCACCATTATACCCAGCTTCAAAAATTTTAAAAACACTACTATCCAGGAGTGTTCGAGTAGTGTCAAATGATCAATGACTGGGACTATTTCATAAGCAGGAGCGAGTAAGCGCTGGCCGCTGTTCTCCTGGTAGGGAGTTTAAGGTGTCCCTCAGTTAAAGTATTACGAGCAGCTTCAGTCCAATAAATTACTGTCCCCCATTGGGCCTGTGTGTTGGTTATTCTAAAGAGGAAGATTGGAAGGCAGTAACATCAAATCCTGGAAATCCACAGGAGCCTTCATGAAGATATCCTTTCCGACTCTCCAAACACCCACTCACAAGTGGTCTCAAAAACACCCAGTACCTTTACTTAGCTTTACCTCCTTCACAATATGCTCAATATGAGCAATTTGACTCCCAAGCCTAGGTCAGGCCTGAGTGTTTCTTGTGAGCCACGGTTTTAGGCATAGGAATTGTTATGGAGGGGGAGCCCCCCTACCTGCAGGGAGCTGTGACCCTAGAAGTCTGTGGAAGGAGAGGGATTTAAGGAGTTCTGGGCAGGTAGGCCTAAAGATCTAGGCCTGGCACCATCACTGTCCAGGAAGGGCCCAGGTCCTATGCTCTGTGCATGGGAGCAATTTGATCTTGGCAGACTTCATCCAAGAGTTCTGTGTGGACCAGACTAGGGGTTGGGGGGAAGGCAACGGCTGGTTGGAGAGAAACCAGGCCCTTCCACTGAAAAGGGTGTTTGGAACATAGCATCGAAGTGGGCTCGGCTTTCCAGCTGCACACGGTGAGCCAGTGGGGAGGTGAGGCCACGGACAAAATGGATCCGAACCAGCCCTGACTGCCCCCCAGATACCAGCCATCCATAGGAGTCCAGGTTTGGGCTGAAACGTACCTGTGAAGAGAACAGGAAACCAACAAGAGCCTCAGAGGCTGTGTCTTAGGATAACCCCTACTGTGTGAGCTTTAAAAACAGGTCACCACACCCCAGTACCCAGAAGGCAGAGGCAGATATATACCTATATCTCTGTGAGTTTAAGGCCAACTTTATCTACAAAGTGAGCTCCAGGATAGCCAGGGCTACATAGAGAGACCCTGTCTCAAAAACACCCCAAAACCAACCAACCAAATAGATAAAAACAAGTCACTGTCAGGAGGACTGGAGCATGAGAGCCTGTCAATGAATGAGCTCTATGACCCAGGACCCAGGAGAGCTTGTCAAGGCTGCTTCTCCTCCAGCCATCTCTGCTGACTTTTAGTCGCTCATTCCACTGGTCACAGGCTGATGGAGGGTGGGAAAGCTGCAAGACAAGGCTCTCACCTTGTGAATAGCTTCAAGTTGCAGCCTGTCCAGGCAAAGCTGAGAATGTCCCTCTCCTTCCTGCATGCGCAGCATGGGTTCTCTACGGAGCAGGTTGTGGAAGGAACTCTGGGGAACAGAAGTGGAATTCCTTAGGACTTCTGCTGTCTAAGGTTTCTCTTTTCTAATAACACACTGATTTGTAACCACAACTTACCAGATCTGTATCTTGAAAGAGCAAGTAGTGGTGATTGATGGTCTCAGTGTAAGTTCTCGCTTTGGGAGGATTAGGGGTCTCAGGGGAGGTCGAGGAGTCTTGGTCTTCGGGGCTGTCCTGGTATGCTATCAGATCTGCTTTATATATAGGCTAGGAGAAGACCGCAAGATTAGCATCTTACATTTTTATTTTTTATCTACAACTGCGTGCATTCACACATGCTGTGGGGTATACAGGGAGGTCAAAGAACAACTCTTGGGAGTCCATTTTCTCTTCTATCCAGTGGTCCCAGGGACTGAACTCAGCACACAGGCTTAGCAGCCAGTGTATATATATATATATACACTGAGCCATCTCTCTAGTCTAAGATTAGATTTATTTTGTTTTTCAAGGCAGAGTTTCTCTGTATAGCCCTGGCTGTTCTTGAACTAGCTTTGTAGACCAGGCTGGCCTCTGCGTTCTGAGTGATAATATTATAAGCGTGCACCACCACCTGCAATTAGATTTTAAAATACTGAACATAAAAGCAGAAAGTAAACTGGCTTACTATGACAAAGTCTCAAAAGTAGTAAGACTAAAAATACACTTGGGGTCAGCCCATGGTGGCGCACGCCTTTAACCCCAGCACTCAAGAGGCAGAGGCAGGTGGATCTCTGTGAATTTGAGGCCAGCCTGGTCTAGAAAGCGAGTTCCAGGCTAGGGCTGTCACAGAGAAATCCTGTCTTGAAAAAACAAAAGAAAAAAACAAAGCAAAACCCCCGGGCTAGCACAGTGGCTGTGGGTAAAGGCTCTGGCTGCTAACCCTGGTACCTTGAGTTTAAGGAGAGAGAGAGAGAGAACTGACTCTCAAAAGTTGCTCTCTGGCCACACATGAACCGTGGCATGCACACCACCTCCCCCCCACACACAAAATAAATATAATGATAGTAACAATCCTTAAAAAAACATGTTCGTTCCAATAGGGTAGAGAAGATTATACCTAACTCCTTGCCACAGCAAGGACAGTATCAGAGCTTGGAGACCAAGCACTAGTTTGCATCCCACCAAGAGTAGACAAGGCAAGTAGAGTGTGACCTAATGGATGGATGTCCCCATACTTACAAATCTCCTTTCTGCAGGTTTCTTGACATTGATTGGGTTTGACGCCATGTCAGGTAAGATGGCTGCGATGAGCTCCCCAGATATGTCTCCTGCAGCTACTGTCCCCAGCCAGTCTGACCCTGAAAGACTCTAATAGGAAGAGGCCTGTTCATTTCACCCATCCATCCACCCATTCACTCCTGTGATGGTGACTTACAGTCTGAGGTCGAGGAGAGACACAAAGAAACAACTCATGTCTCTAACAATAGTTATCATACACTGTTCCTCCTTCTGCCCTGAATCACTGTCTGCCCCTGACTACCACAGTGAGCACACGGGCATCTCCTGCATACTGAAGCTCAGGGAAGGAGAGGCTCACCCAGACGGTGCCTTTCCGTGGAGCAGTAAAGTAGGCCTTAAAACCAAGGTAACCAGCATCGATGTAATGAATTCCACAGAGCCCGTAACTACGAGAGAGAGAGAAAATAAACCATGCTTCTTCTAAGACTAAGTTCTTTTCCTACAGAATTCAAAATAACCCAGAACAAACCCAACCCTCCTTCCCCAGCGTGTGCCCCAACCCTTAGGGCCTGTCCCCACAACTCAGATCTTCATCTTGCCGTACGAGGCATAGCAGTTGTCCTGAGCCACCGTGACACCATTGTAGGGAAGCAGCCAGGAAAGCTCTGTACTCAAGAAGCGCTTGATGCAGTTTATTGGCTCATAAGGTCGTCGAAGATCCCAGAATTTGATTTTCCGGTCACTCCCCGCAGAAACCAGGAAATGACTGCAAAGATGGCAGTTCAAATCAGAGCAGTGTGGAAGAGTCAGCCTGCTGCAGTCTTCCCACCATAGACTCTTTTTAAATTAAATTTGTTTACGCTTATTTTACATACCAACCAGTTTCCCCTCCCTCCTCTGCTCCTGGACCCTCCCCCCATCCACTCCTCAGAAGGGTAAGGCCTCCCATGGGAATCAACAAAGCATGGCATATCACCACCACCCCCCACACACCACCCCCCACCCCCCGCATCAAGGGTGAGCGAGGCATCCCACCATAGGGAATAGGTTCCAAAAAGCCAGCTCATATACCAGGGACAGATCCTGGTCACACTGATAGGGACCCCACAAACAGACCAAGGTACACAACTGTCACCCACATGCAGGCAGCCTAGCATGGGTCCCTAGCCCTCTTATTCTGTACCTGTTAGCTTTGCACCACTGAATTGTACGAACAGCCTGGTCATGGGCTAGGAAACACTGGAAGGGGTACAGCTTTAAGGAGCCATCAGAGAGACGTATCCGTTGGAGGGGTGAATTAGTGGGAAGATTCCAGAAAACCACCATGCCTAAGGTAGAGACAGACTATGTAGGCACTGAAGCAGTGGTTCTCAACCTGTGGGTCATGACCCCTGTGACAAACCTCTATCTCCAAAAATATTTGCATTAGGATTCACAACTGTAGAAAAATGACAGCTATGAAGTAGCAATAAAGTAACTATGGCTGGGGTCAGCACGACCTGAGGAGCTGTTCAAGGGCTGCGGCATCAGGAAGGCTTTTGGTTCTGGGTTCTCATTTCTTTCTCTGGGACCCCAGACTCTGTCTCCTCCTCTCAAATCCAAACTACAGTGAAAGAGTAGGGATGATGATGACCAGATGAGTCCCCTGCCAAGCTCAACCCAACATGACACCAGCTAAATGTGACAGCTGAGTCCTGGGCCTGCACCTCAAGTTTCAGTTTGAGTGTATCTGATGGCTGCTAAATAAAAGATTTTTTTATTTAATTATGCATATGTGTATTTGTCTGTGTGTGGGTATGTGCCTGTGTGAGTGTATAGATGCCAGAAGAAAGCTTTGGATCTCCTAGAGCAGGATTTACAGGTGGCTGTGATGTGGGTGCAAGAAATGAATTCAAGTCCTCTGCAAGAGCAGCACATGCTCTTAACTGCTGAGTCATCTTCTGGGCCTCAAAGTAAGTTTTAAAATAGTGCGTATCTGCTGCCAGCACGTGCTCATAACCTCCGCATTCGGGCTGAGGCAGGATGATCTGCCCAGGACACACCATGAAAGCCGGTTTCACCAAACTAAAAGCCCTTTAAAGAGCAGTTGGCAAACGACAACCAACAACCTGACAGACAGCGTTGCCTTTTGTGTTTGGTACTTGGGACTGAACTTGTCTCATGCATGCCAGGCAGGTGCTGCACCTCATGGGACTGGAGTTCTACCCCCGTCACTCTATAGCATGCCGCCTAGGTTGGCCCCAAGCTCCAGCATCCTTCTGTCTCTGTCTCCAATGGGTTGGGACAGTAGTTATCAGCCACAATGCTTGGCTTAGGCTGCCTGTTTGGCACGTTATACTGAAACACCGTCACACCTATTCATTTATGCAATGTCTAGAGTTGATTACATACCCAAAAAGCAGAATTTAGCACCAACAATGGCAAATTAGCTCATAAAACCTAAAATCACTACTGTTTGGTTCATTACAAAAAATTTCTGGGGCTGGAGAGATGGCTCAGAGGTTAAGAGCACTGACTGTTCTTCCTAGAGGTCCTGAGTTCAATTCCCAGCAACCACATGGTGGCTCACAACCATCTGTAATGAGATCTGGTGCCCTCTTCTGGCCTACAGGGACACATGTAGGCAGAATACTGTATACATAATAAATAAATCTTAAAAAAAAAAAAAAAAATTTCTGGTTCTGCTCTACAAAATGCAGGGAAAAGACAACAAATGCACATTCAGAAAACGACTTGAGACAAGGCTGGCAGAGGAGAGGGACTCAGAAGTGTGACTCAGATAAAATAAAAGATAAAGAGCATTACAACCCTTATATACCTAACTGAGGGAGGGCAGCACTTATGAACCGTTTTCAAAGAACGAAACAAATACGGTGATTTGAGGGTAAACAATGAAAACAACCCAGCGAAGGAGGCAGGAGCCTGGGCTGAGACCTGGGAGACAGTCAATGGTCACTCCAGCTACAGCACCTTGTCTCACACATGCAAGGACTGCCTTCAATCTCGGGCCGGGGAGGGCGGGAGAAGGGTAACAACAGTAGTAAAGCAGGAGACACGGATCCTGACAATGGAAACACCACCCAAGAGGGCTGGAGAGATGGCTCAGTGGTTAAGAGCACAGACTGCTCTTCCAAAGGTCCCGAGTTCAATTCCCAGCAACCACATGGTGGCTTACAACCATCTGTAATGAGGTCTGGTGCCCTCTTCTGGCCTGCAGGGACACATGCAGACAGGATACTGTATACATAATCAATAAATTTTTTAAAAAAAGAAAGAAAACACCACCCAAGAAAAACAGACACAAGTGTGATGTAGGTGGGAAGTTAAAAAAAGCACTAACTTCCTTACCTTCCTGGCAGAAAAGTCTACTGACCTGTGTTACTTTAAAATAAATAAAACAGGGCTGGAGAGATGGCTCAGCAGCAAGGCCACCTGCTGCCAAACCCTATAGCCTGAGTTTGATTCTGGGACCTACCTACATGGCTGAAAAAGAGAACCAACTTCCATAAGGTGGCCTCTAACCTCAAATTAATGAATAAATGTAGAAACTATGTAATTAACCTTTAAATTGCACTTATTGGAAGAACTGAGGGATTGTACCCAGGACCTAATGAATATTAGGCAAGCACTTGCTAATCTTTCTATTTTTAATTTTGAGATAGGGTCTAAAATGCCTGGGCAGTACTTGAACTTGATCCTCCTACCTCAGGCTCTGAAGTAGCTGATTATAGCCCTGTACCACCAAGCCCACCAAACACTGGGTACCCTTGCACTGGAATTAAGTCAGCTATGAGCTGCCTGTGGATGCTGGGAATCGAACTCAGGTCCTGTGGAAGAGCAGTCAGTGTTCTTAACTGAGCCAGCCCCTACACCTTTAAATTAAACAGCTTATATAGTGTGATCTTGTTTCAATAAAGTTGTCTTTCTTTAAACTCCCTTGATAAACTCCTGTATTATCAGAGAATTTTTCTCTTTTCTACTTTATAGTGGAAACATTTATGTAAAGTACATTCATTTCCAGCACACAATTCCATGAGATTGACAGTTACTAGCACCAGTGACAAGAACCCAAATATTTCCATCAATGTCAAAATTCCTTATGACTCTTGGTACGTCTTTTGAGTGAGAAAAGTGACTATCTACATATCATACTAGTGATCAGCAGGCATTGTGAGTAGTTATTCTGAGCTGTATCCATGTTATATGTCAGAAGACAACATTTTTTAAATTGCTAAGTAGTTTATTATATGTATATCAGTTTTGTTCATCCACCTAATTTTTTTTAATTACATTAATTCCTTTTTTATGTGTGTACCATGGAATGTGTGTGGAAGGACATCTTGCAGGAGTCAGTCCTCTCCTGTGACTGTGTGGGTCCTGGGGATCGAACTCAGGCTGTCAGCCTTGGCAGCAAGCACCTTTACATTCTGGACTATTGATTCAGCTGTTCAGCTATTTTTAAAAATCTTGTAATTAAAAAAACTTTTTTTTTTTTTGGTTTTTTCGAGACGGGGTTTCTCTGTGTAGCTTTGTGCCTCTCCTGGAACTCACTTGGTAGCCCAGGCTAGACTCGAACTCACAGAGATCCGCTTGGCTCTGCCTCCCGAGTGCTGGGATTAAAGGCGTGCACCACCACCGCCCGGCTAAAAAACCATTTTTTTAAATATGTGTGTCACGTGTTCCTTGATAGGTCAGAAGATGTCTGATGCTATCCTGGAGCTGGAGTTACAGATGAGCTGCTTGGTGCTGGGAACTGAAGATGGGTCCTCTGGAGAGGAGCAAGTCCTCTTAACAACGGAGCCATCTCTCCAGACCCCCTCATTTGTTTTATTAATTTAAAAACCATTGTATTTGCTTATTTTATGTGGTGTGGAGGTCAGAACAACCTCTGGGAACTGCCTCTCTCCTTCCACGTGTGGGTCTCAGGGATCAAACTCAGGTCACCAGGCTTGAGGGCAGGCATCTTCAGTGACGAGCCAACTAGCCAGCACCTCCACTTAACTCTGAACTGACATTATTTTAACAGTTACAGAGGACTACATTAAATTATGTTCACATCTTTCCTTTCTTTTCTTTGAGATGAGGCCAAAATATCCCAGGCTGGCCTCAAATAGTTTTTTGTTTGTTTGTTTGTTTTGAGACAGGGTTTCTCTGCGCAGCCCTGGCTGTCTTGGAGCTCGCTCTGTAGACCAGGCTGGCCTCAAACTCACAGAGATCTGTCTGCCTCTGCTTCTTAAGTGCTAGGATTAAAGGTATGGGCCACCACCGCCTGGCTCAAATAGTTATTTTCAAGACTGACCTCAAACTTCTGCAGTCAAATGCTCCCCCAACCCTGAACTTCCGATCATCCTGCCTCCATCTCCAAGTGTTAAGATTACAGGCACATAGTGCTGGGGACTGAACTCAAGGGCTTTGGACACACAGAGTAAGCATTCTACCAACTGAACTGCATCCCATCCCCCCACTCTTAATAATTTTTTTAGTGGAAAAATTATAGTGACATTTCTTCTTTGTGTATTCTTTTTTACAATGTTTGAATTTTTATGAAGATGTGTTATTCTCCCCCCGCCCCACCCCCCAGACAGGGTTTCTCTGTGTAGCTTTGCGCCTTTCCTGGAACTCACTCTGTAGTCCAGGCTGGCCTCAGAGATCCACCTGCCTCTGTCTCCCGAGTGCTGGGATTAAAGGTGTGCACCACCATCGCCTGGCTAAGATTTGTTTTATTTTATGCATGTGAGTATTTTGCTTGCGTGTTTGTCTGTACACCATGTGCGTGTCTAGTGCCCAGAGACCAGAGGAGGGCTTTGGATCCCCTGGAACTGGAGTTACAGACAGTTGAGAGCTGTCAGGTGGGTGCTGGGAACCAAATCCAGGTCCTCGCTCTGCAAGAGCAGCAAATGCATGTAACTGCTGAGCCATCTCTCCAGCTCTGCTTGAATATCTTCAACTATAATATAATATTATGCTTAACTAAAGGAGGATATAATCCAAACCCAAGCACATATAAAAGGCTTCAAGAGCAACAACAGGTCTTGATTTTTACCATTATAGTATCCTGCAGCCAGGTGGTGGTGGGGCCTGGTAGGCATCCAAGCCAGGCTAAGGCACTGACCACACTCAGAGGGGTCTGAAGCTTGCACAGACCCCACCTGAAGGGTTGCCAAACACTGAACCTGTAAGGACAGAAGAGATAAGATTAGGATTAGGGGTTCTTACTGTGTGAAATAAAACTCTCATCAGTTTTAAGATTTATGTGTCTAAGTGATGTGTGTGTGTGTGTGTGTGTGTGTGTGTGTGTGTAGAAGCATGTGTACCACATAACTGTCAGGTCCCATGGAATTCAGAAGATTCGGGGTCAGATCTTATGGAACCAGAGTTTTGGATGGTTGTGAGCCACCATGCAGGTGCTAGGATTCAAACCTAGGTCCTCTGCAAGAGGAGAAATTGTCTCAAGCCCCCTAAATCAGTTCTTCTTTTTTATTTTATTTTATTTTATTTTATTTTTTGTTTTGTTTTTTGAGACAGGGTTTCTCTGTGTAGCCCTCGCTGTCCTGGAACTCACTCTGTAGACCAGGTTTGTCTCAAACTCCCAGAGATCCACCTGCCTCTACCTCCGGAGTGCTGGGATTAAAGGTGTGTGCCACCACCACCCAGCCAGATCAGTTCTTAATCCAGACAAGGGATGCTTTTCAGAAGTGAAAGACTCACTGTGGAATCTGTAAAGTAAGGCTCTAGGCAGATGAAGCCTCCACTAAGAGAACAGGTTCCTCACTCACCTTGTAGATGGCAGGCTTCATAGCATCTGTGTGAGAAGAAAGACAAACAGCTGACGCTCTGGACCCCCAGGCCTGAGCTCCTCCTCAGGCCTTGCTGTGCGAGCAGGAGCTCTTGCCTGGGCAATGCCTTCCTTCACTCGATCTCACCACCAATGTCTGACCTCTCACCTGCCCCACCGTCTTCTCCAAGACTAGCTTTCTGTCTCTGGGAACTGCTAACTCCTCCACACAGTCTCCTCTCCTTTCTGTCTCTAGATCTGCTCATGTGCTTGGGACTTGTCACTATCCACTTGCTCTCTCCTTACTGACTTGTTCCTCCATTTCTATGTAAACGTGCTCTACTGTCTCCTCTAGAAGGGTTAATTAACACGGGAAGTCAGGTGTAGTAGTGCAGACCTGCAATCCCAGCAGTGTAAGTGGAAGGAGGAGGAAGAGAGGTTCAATTATCCTCAGCTACACGGTAAGTTCAAGGTCAGCCTGGGCCACAAGAGAGAGACGCTGCTTCCAAAAACAAACTAAAAGAACCACACAAAACCTCCCTTTGGCCCACGGTCACCGACCACCAGCCTCATTTATTTGCCTCCCTTTATATCCAAATCTTTTTTTTTTTTTTTTTTTTTTTCCAAGACAGGGTTTCTCTGTGTAGCTTTGGTGCCTGTCCTGGATCTCGATTTGTAGACCAGGCCGGCCTCGAATTCACAGAGATCCGCCTGCCTCTGCCTCCCAGTGCTGGGATTAAAGGCGTGCGCCACCACCGCCCGGCTATATCCAAATCTTTTAGTTTTTTCTTTATGTTTTTTCAGACAGGTCTCTCTATAGAGCCCTACCTGTCCTAGAACTCACTCTTTAGACCAGGCTGGCCTTGAACTCACAAAGATCTACCTGCCTGCCTCCCAAGATCCCTGTTATCTATCTCCAAAGTTTCTAAAGAAAGTATCTGTGAGGCTTGACCAATCTTTAAGCTTCATGCAGCTAAGAATAGCTAAAAATGTGGCTCAACACAAAATTGTAACTCTACTTAACACATTACCAAACTTTCCATTTCTTGGCAATTCAGCTGTGGAAATGAACTCTGTAGATGACATCATTCCACAATATTAAATGTCTGATTCCTTATTTCCGCCTCAACCTACTCCTCTATCAGACTACCAAACACAGGACATCCTAGGGCTTACCCCCAGATTCCCTGAAATACTCAATACCATTGGGGGAAAACAAGCTCTGTCTTTCCGACTCTTCCTAAAAGATACTGTCTAAACATAGGGGAGGGGGAGGGGCCGAGACCAGCACCAGGGAAAGAAGGAGGCTAGAGAAGGTGAGTCCCACTTGTCAGCCTCAACCCTTGGCAACTCTTTACACTGTCAATTTATGAGGGCACAGAATATGAAGAGGGGGCGGTGACTGGTAAAATGCTGAGGGGGCAGTTAGTCTGGAAAGAGTTTAAGCTCAAGAATGAACAACTGAAGTCACAGTATCGTCACAAAAGCCTGCCTGATTATGCTTTTATGCTTGAGACTGTATCTCGGTCCTGGGAGGCAGGCAGGCCTCAGAGCTCCCCACCACTGCATCTGTACCACTTGCCTGGAGGCTGCTGAGCCAGGAGGGCCTCAGGATGCGGCAGACTGAACAGCAGCACCTTCCCATCAGAGCAGGCCAGGGCCAAGAGACCCAGGCGAGGCAGGAGAGGAGCCTGGAGGGTGAGAGCAGATCTGCGCTGAGGTCTGCTGCTTTCCGGTGCCTCTCAGAACTCCTGAGGCATGGGATGCTGGGAAACCCCACCCACCACACTCTAACCTTCCTTCCTCCGACCCTAAGAAGGCCCAGAGCTAGCCCACAGTCCACTAGAAGTACCTTCCGAGGAGTTTCTGGATGTTCCCATGCCCCACTGGGGCAGAACTTGAGGTCCCAGATACAGCCACTGTCACAAGCAATCCCATAGACAAAGTGGGCCCTGTTGCCAGGACTGGAGAGAGAAACACGGGAGACAGTAGGTAGGAAGAGCCCAGGACTGACGAGCTCCATTACTTCCCTGTCTTGTCTCAGCCCAATGCAAGCCCTTGCCCAGCCTGTCTCTCCCTCACCCACCTGCCTGTGGCAGTGTCCCAGCCCCACCTCACCAGCTTTCTTGCTGCAATGTCCCAAGGCCCCAGAGCTGCAGCAGCCCAGGGCCTGAATGAAGCTGGCTCAGTGGGTGTGTCTCATTCATGTCTGGGCTGGAGAAAAGGGCCACATACTGTGAGGCCGCTGACCCTTCGGGCACTGGGCACCAGTCCAGAGCCCAGAGCGGTCCTCCTGTGAAGAAGGACACATCCCAGCGCTCTGGATGTGCTGTGATCGAGCTAAATCTAGAGAAAGGTCAGAGAGCAACAGAGATATTAGGAAACGTAAGGACAAGATGGAGGGTCTCACTGGAACAGGTATGAAAATCAGTCTATGGTTGACGCAGGCCTCTGCCACGACACGACTCACATCTCCCTCCCTTCCCTCTCAGAAATGAACTCCAGCTCATCTTCAAGGATGAGAGGCTGTTTGTTCATGCTCAATGCATGTCATCTTGTGAACTGGTCTGCACAAGTCTCCCAAACTTCTCTTAGCCCGGCTTGCAGAGAAAGCTGGACACTGTCCATTAGTGAGGACTAGCCTGCTACAGCAGACTCTCTCCTCAGAACCACCCAGGACCGGCCCTCAGGGGAGGGCAGGGCCAATCTGCTAACCCTTGCAACAATCGTTCTTCCTTGTTCTCTCTTTGACAATCAGAGAAGAGGGCCGAGTGGGTCTTTTACCTGTTGATCCTGTAGATTGTGCCATCCTCAGGAATCCCTTCACGGTGTACCGAGAACAGGGGAGACTTCTCCTCCTGGGGCAGGTAGGGAGCTGCTTCACTGTGGGAAGCAAAAACATCAGCTTGACCCCGGAAGAGCTTCGCCACACAGAATTCCCACTGTACACTTAATTCTTTGTCACTTGTCTGTCCTCTCCTTCAAGGCTTCTTTGGTAGTTAACATTGTCAACTTGACAGGACCTAGAATCACCCATTAGGCAAGCTTGTGGGCACACTTTGAAGAGTTACCTAGATAGGATGGCCTCTGGGTAAGTTTGTGAGCAAATTTCATTTTGTTTTGTTTTTTTGGTTTTTCAAGACAGGGTTTCTCTGTGTAGCTTTGGAGCCTGTCCTGGAACTCGCTCTGTAGACCAGGCTGGCCTCAAACTCACAGAGATCCACCTGTCTCTGCCTCCCGAGTGCTGGGATTAAAGGCGTAAGCCACCACCGCCACCACCGCCAGGTGAGCAATTTTTTTTATTCGGTTAACTGAAATGGGACAATTCACCCTAGATGCCCATGGGCTTGGGTCCTGGACTACATAAATAGAAGCCGGCTGAGCACCAGCACCCACTGATCTCGCCTCCCCAGCTGCAGATGAAGAACAAGCAGTTGCCTCAGGGTTCTGCCAGGACTTCCCACCATGACGCACCGGCTCCTTCGACTGTGAGCCAAAATAAATGCTTTCTCCTTTAAGTTGCTTTTGCCAGAGGATTCCATCACGGCAATAGAAAAGTAAATCAGCTTCAGAGATGTCAGTTCCACTTACAGTTCGGATAACAACTGCCACTTCCAGGCTACTGGAATCCATTCAGCAAACTCCCAGAACGAATGCTGCTGTTCTCGGCTAGAAACAGAAGAGCATCAATGGAAAGGAGAGAACTCTATAACAGCACTGTCTAAGCCCGTTTTCTGTGAGGGTGGGAGTGACCAGCACTTGAAACATGGTCAAGAATTGCAGAGAGATCTTGCCCTTAACAGCGCCCCTCAGTAATGAGCTAATGAGCATCACCACCACCACCACCACCGCACTCCACACATAAGCAAGGGTCCCCTCTCTGGGTGGTCCTTAGACTCCTCCTTCTCCCCCGCCTGCCCTCAGCCCTTACTCACAGGTCCTTGGTGAGGTGCAGGCACTTCCAAACAGGAGCCATGATATAATTGGGCAACCCATTGGGAGCCATGCCCCGGCAGTGTGGTTTCTGCTTCTGAGGATCAAAGTGAAGAAAAGATAAACATCTAGGTTGGAGAAAGTCCCAGAAGATAGCTTTCTTTCTCAGTTTTTAACTTTCCTTGGTTTTTACATATCCTCCCAACTGCCCTATCAGCATCTCAACAGACTTGTGGTGCAATGACTCTATCCATCAAAGCATTCTGTTCGCCTTTCTCCAGTCTCCATGATATTTGGTTCGGAGGACTGTCACACACTTCCTGAAACTCCTGCCCTGGGGGACACATCCAGCACTCCTTTAGTGACTCGCACCCCCCACCACCACCACCACAGGTCAAGGAGGGCATTCTTTAGATACACAGTCCTGGAATCTCACTCATACTCCAGGGATGACTATCACCTTCAAGCCCAATTCGAAAGCTTACAGCATTATAAACTTGGCTCAGTCACAACTTTTCTACAAGCTGTAGGTCTACAGAGCCGTAGTAAGGACTCAGACAAAAAGAAAAATCAGAACTCAACTAAATAAAGAAATAAAGAAATAGGGGCTAGAGAGATGGCTCAGCAGTTAAAAGCATTGGCTGCTCTTCTAGAGGAACCAGGTTCAATTCCTAGAAACCACATGGAACTCATAACTGCCTGTAACTCCAGTTTCAGGGGATCTGACACCTTCACAGAGACAAAAAATGAAAGCACATGAAATAAAAATAAGTAAATTATTAAAAAAAAAGAAGAAGAAAGAAAGAAAGAAAGAAAGAAAGAAAGAAAGAAAAGTTAAGTATGGTGGCTCACGCCTCTAACCCCGGCATTTAGGGGAGGAAAGAGACCCAATCTAAAAAAATAAAATAAAATAAAATACAGTGGAGAATGATAGAGGGAGACACTCAAGGTCTACCTCTAACCTCCACCATAGCACACATCGCCACACGCATGTACATACACATATGGGTAAGTACACACGCATACACATGCATACACACACACACACACACACACACACACACACACACACACACACACACATGTGTACCTACCCAACAAAGCTCCTGTCTATGCTGGCTGTGGCGGTGCACACCTGTAAAGCTAGTGCTAACACAACTGTGGCGGGAGGGTCAGGTTTGAGACCAGTTGGAACTACTCAGAGTTAAAGTCCAGCCTGAAGCACAGTAAGAACATGTCCAAAAATAGTCAAAGTTTTAGGGCTGGCAAGATGGCTGAGCAGGCTGAGCTTGTTGCCAAGTCTGATGACCTCAGTTGGATCCCTGGGCCACACAATGGTGGAAAGAACGGACTCCCGAGTCTACTGACCTCCACACTCACTCCAGCACTCAAGTACCCAGACACTATTTGGATGACAGTCTTAATATATATATTATATACATACAGACATATATACACTTTTTAATATTTTGGATTTGCTGCATTTTTATATTCAAAAACTAAAACTGATCTCAAAGAATCACTTGATTACTGAGGGTCTCAGTGCTCCCGTAACTGCACACTCAAGGCACACACTGGAGACCAGATAACTAGACTGTGGGTTCATGGCCACAGGCACCTCCCACTCCACCAATCAGAAGTCCCTGACACCTACTGGCAGGATGCCCACAGCTGGCTCTCCCTGGTGGGCTCTCACCTCTGCTTTCCTCATTGGCTGACTGGACTCTCAACCTTTCATCTGCACAAATGAAAGCTGACTTCTGAGTGTCAACTGAAGCTTGTCCTACTTCCTACCCACGTTCTGTTTTGACTTAAAGAGATTCTGCAGGTTTAGCTGAAATGTTAAAAACAGTCAGGCCTGGTGGCCCAGTGATAATCCTAAATGCTCACGAGGCTGAGGCAGAAGGATTGTGAGCTCAAGGCCCGCCTGGCTACAGAGTGAGGTTAGGGCCATCCTAGAAACTTTGTGAAACCGTGTCTCAAACTTTAAAATAGAAAAGTGAAAGATGGAAAAAAAAAAAAAGAGCTGGGTATGTAGGTCAGCAAGAGCACTTCCTAACATGCATGAGGACTCAGGTTTAATCCTCAGTACCACAAGAAAAGAAAAAAGGTCCAGACATGAGTGGTAATGCTGCACAATAGTATAGATTTCTTTTTTTGGTATAGTAGAGCCACAGAATTGCACATTTTTAAACAGTAAGCTTGTGTTATATGTATTCACAACAGTCCAAACCAAACAAACCAGCACGTGTCGGCGCCGACCAGTTAAGTCCTGTCATCCTCTACTGACCTCCTATGGACACTACTCCCCAGACGCTGTTCTCCGCTGCAGTCACCCTCTGGGGACACAGCACCCTGGAGACCTGCACCTGCCCTTCAAGGCCCAGCTCAGAAGCCACCCCTCTGTAAAATGTGAGCAGTTAGTCCCCTCCACCAATCCAAGTCATTCTGTAGCACTGAGTGGAGGCAGGATCCTTGTCCAGACGTGTGTTTTCTAGTAGAAAACACTCTGGAGTGAGCCATTTATTCACGGTGTTCCTCCCCTATAACCTCCCCAAAACATCACATTTCTGAAGTTTTCCCTTTTCTGGTACTAGTTTTGGCTATGAGAGGTCAAAGAAATCCTTCTCGGTACTCGAGTGCTTCCTAAAATTCCCATCTTCCCACCCTTTCTCGTCAACTCAAGTTACCCCTGCAGCGGGTCCTCGCGGGGTGCTTCGGGGTGCAACAGGCTCAGGATCAGAGGAGTTCTCACTCGGGGCCTCACTTTCCTCCTCATCTTCACCCTCGACCTGAAGAACAAAGTCTTCATCCCGAGTGCTCCCATCTTCGTCACCCTGAGAGGCTGCTTGCCGCGTCTTCTTCGGCTTGGTAGGGCTGCTCACCTTGGGACTCTTAGGACCGGACAGCGGAGCAGGCAGGGCTGTTGAGAGCTCTTCAGCCAGTTCCTGGAGGTACAGAAGTGCCCTGTAGGACAGGGTGGAGTCAGAGCCATGCTCGCAAGCACTGAACGGAGCCCACATGTCCAGACTTATTATTTTACTATCTCAGCAATGCTGTGAAGCAGATGCCAGTTTCCCCTTCCCTCCAACAGATACAGAAACAGAAGTCCAGGAGAATTAAGTGATCTGGCATAGGCAAGGCAGCTACCAAGGATCTGAGTCCCGGCTTTCTATCTCTAGGCCAATGCACTCTTACTCTAGCACATAGAACATAAAGGGCAAGGGGAGAAGGGGAGGCACAGAAACATTGAAATATATTGAGTGGTAAAAGCAATGAAGACCTGGGGGAAGTCTGTGAAAAATGTGATGGAGAGCCAGGTGTGGTGGCGCACGCCTGCAATCCCAGCACTCGGGAGGCTGAGGTGGGAGGATCGCAAGTTCGAGGCCAACCTGGGTTAGGCAGCGACACCCTGTCTCAAAACAAAAACAAAACAAACAAAAAATGTGATGGAGTATGAGGTACAGAAAGAAATCACTTAGATACAAAAGTTAGCAACACATACCCACAAAAGTGGCTTTAAGAGCTAAAGGGTTGCCCCACCCAGCACCCAGGCACCACCCCTACTTACCTGATACCTCACCAGTCTTCCCATCTCTCCAACATCTGCCCCACCTTCCCCCCTCTACCACCACCCCTCCACCAGGCTGTGCCCCACAATCCTTACACTTGCGCAGCCCTTCGGCGGGGTCGTTCCCCAGAAGGGGTCTCAAAGTCCTCAGGGGGCCTCTTTGGATGTGGAGACTCTGGCTGATCTAGGCCTTTGGACAACTTCAGAAGTAGCAGGTCTCCCTTGGACTTTTGACTTCGTTTCTTAGGCATAGGGGTGGACAGAGGGTTGGCCTGATCTAAGAGACCAGGAACCAGAGGGGTGGATGGAGGTTTACGTTGCTGAGGCCTTTTAGGGCCTCTTGGTGTCCTACCACCTCTCTTCCCGGAAGGCTTTGAGGCCCTAGGGTTTGAGATCTTGGACATCTCTGAAGAAAGATCTGTAGAGAAGAATATGGTCTATGAGATGGGATCAGAGCTCAAGGTTCTTCGGGGTACAGTATACGGTATGCTCTCTCTTTCATCTCAAGCTAAGCATGGAGAGACAAGAAGAGCAAGGGCAAAGCACACACCTTGCTGCTCCGACCTGGCGAGGCTTTCCTGCTCTGGAGGAAGCCTCCTCTTGTCAGAAGAATCCTCAAAGCCAGGCAAAGGGGTAGGCAGTGACATCTCGATGGAGGCCTCCACACTGGAGGTTTCTGAGGAGGCCTTGACATCCAGCTGGTTCAGTTCTTCTTGTCCAGGAGAGTCTACCACAATCATGTTCCCCACGGGGTCGGCCTCCCCCAGGGCAACATAGCCGACCCCGCAGGTATCCATCAGCACCCCCCAAAATGGCTGCCCTGCATACAGAGATACAGCAATGAGTGGGACACAGAAGCCATTTGTAGAGGCTCAGAGCTCTCTTTTCCCTTTCATCCCACAACCAGAAACCCAAGCATCCTGACCGATCGATCATTCATTCAAGTAACTACTGGGGTGGTAGCATGGCTTAGTAGGTTAAGATGCTTGCTGCCAAGTCTGGTGACTTGAGTTCAATCCCCCTGATCCACATAGCATGCTGTAAGGAGAAAACCAACTTGTACAAATTGTACTCCGCCACCCCACAACACACTATTCTGTCAAGAACTAGTAAATGATAAGACAAACAAGGAGCAGGACATAGTAGTGCACACCTGTAATCCCAGCTCCTGGGAAGCTGAGGCAGGAGAGATGCTGTGATTTTGAGACTAGCCTGGGCTACACACAAGCCCCTGTTTCAGAAAAGAAAACAAAAAAACAACAAAAAAAGACAGGCAAGATGCTACCTTCTTGAGATTTACATTCTCATGAAGCACAGTAAATAAGTAAACAGACAATAAGCTACTGTTTAGTAACTGCTTACTACATACCAAACATAATACTAAATGCTTTATGAATATTACTTAAACCTTATATATCATCATAAGGATATGGACGTGAATATACAATTAACTTAATTCTTACTAAAAAACAGTAAGACGAATCATATTCAGATCCCCCACCACAAGGGAAACGGAGACAAAATTGTGCGCCTCTAAGGAAGAATTGTAACTTCCTAAAAAACAGACTAAACAACAGCTGCCAAGCAGGTGTGATGGTGCCGTGGCAAAGCCCTAGTTACTATGGAAACGGAAGCAAAAGGATAATTTGAGCCCAGGAATTTGGGGCCAGCTTGGGGGTATAATACAGCAAGACTCTTACTATTACATTTACAGAGTTGCCGGATACTATAAAACTTAGGCCAAGCTAAAGTAGGATACCCAGAGGCAACATCCAGTTCTGTGTTTTGGTAAAGGAGCAGATTCCCTAGAGAATAAGAGCTGCACTGAACTAAGTAGGATAGCACATTTTGAAATCTTACCACTTGGGAGGTGGAGACAGGAGTTCAAAGCTAGCCTGGACTACATGAGATCAGGGAGGGAGGGAGGGAGGGAGGGAGGGAGGGAGGAAGGGAGGGAGGGAGGGAGGGAGGGAGGAAGGGAGGGAGGGAGGGAGGGAGGGAAGAAGGGAGGGAGGAAGGAGGAAGGGAGAGAGGGAGGGAGGGAGGGAGGGAGGGAGGGAGGGAGGAAGGAAGGGAGGGAAGAAGGGAGGGAGGAAGGAGGAAGGGAGAGAGGGAGGGAGGGAGGGAGGGAGGGAGGGAGGGAGGATGGAAACAAGAGTACGAGTTTTCGAGAACCTAGCCATCAATGTTACATTTGAATTGGGGAGAGGGGTGCCTATTGGCTACAATACAATTAAAACCATCCTATCACATTAAGAGAACTTTCTCATATCAAAAATGGACTAAAGTATCCCACATCTTTATGAACCCAGAAAAATCAGATCTATAACCACGACGAAGAGCACTGGCAGAAATAAAACACTGACCACAAACCAAAAATTTGAGCAAATACAACTCTGTAAGGGTCAAGATTTTGGTCAGGACAACCTGTTTGCCTTTGACAAGGGGCAGAAATAGTTCAACTCCCAGGAGGGAACCCTCCATAGGTTGAGACCTAACTAAAAGATAAAGAATTCACCAGGCTCAATGGAAAAGTGTGCTCATATAAATTCTAAAAGAAATACACCTCTCTTCCTGTAAGTAGCTCTAGTTCTATTAAAATGGCAGCAGTAAACCTCTACCCCACTAAGTGGTGAGGCTAAATGCAACCCCATATGCTAAAGATACTGTGTATGGTACCACTGCTCTTTGGGAAAGAGAGGACCTGTATCCCATTCAAAACCAGTAACAAGCAAAAAAGGATCCAATGTGGGACCTATGCTCAGACAGGACAGGAAGAAAAAAAAAAGTTGAAAAGTACCTTCCAAAGAACTACTCCAGAAAACAGAAGAAAAGTTTCAGCAAACACAAAAACTACCGGATCTAGGAAACAAGAGAAAACAATGGCAAGACGGTTTGAGTAAACTGGCAGCCACAGGGAAAGGAACCGAGCGAAAACATACATTCTCAGAAATTAGATCCGCAGGAAGAAAACCAGCAAAGTCAAACTATGCCGCTAAACAGTGAGATGAAGGGGCAAGTTTGCGAGAAGCCACAGACTGCAAGGAGGAAAAGAGCTGGTGACAGCAAATGACACAGATGGAGAAGCGGGGCTGCAGGCTCACAACTCAGGGCTCTGCTGCTGTTTTTAGAGACAGGGTTTCACTGCGCTGCCCAGGCTGGCTTTGACCTGGCAGAAATGTGCCCGCCTCTGCTGGAATTAAAAGTGTGCTCCACCATCCTGGTTAAAGTACTTTATGGTTTAAAAAAGAAGGCAAGTGTGGTGGTACACACTTGTAATCCCAGGGAGGTGATGTGAAGAGATCAGGAGTTCAAGACTAGCCTGCGAAACATGAGAGATCTTGACTCACAAATAACGAAGAAATGAGAATAGAAAAAAACAAAACTTCAAAAACTTAGTAGAAGAGGTTTGGGGGTGTTGGCACATGTCTTTAATCTCTGTGAGTTCAAGGCCAGCTTGGTCTACATCAGCTGGCCTAGAACATAGTTAAGACCCTGTTTTAAACAAAACAAAAAAATGTAATAGAAGAGAGGGAGGAGTGGTGGTTGGCGCCTGTAATCCCAGCAGTAGAAGGTAGCAGAGGCAAGAGGATGGAGACTTCCAGACCAGCAGGGATACAGGAAGACCCTGTCTCCTCTCACACTCTCCCCCCTCCAAATACTGAAATAAGGAAGACCTCAATTTATAGATCAAGAAGGCTTGGGGGGGGGGCATCGCTGGAGAGATGGCTCAGCAGTTAGGAGCCTTGCTGCTCCTGCAGAGGACCTGGATTTGGTTCCCAGCACCCACATGGTGGCTCATAATCAACCAGAACTACAGTGGTGCAAAGACATACATGCAGGCAAAACACCCATATACATAAAATAAATAAATAAATAAATAAATAAATGGCTTATTTGGAAAAGAAAAATAAAGAATTTTTTTCTAGTTTTTTTCGAGACAGGGTTTCTCTGTGTAGTGTTAGTGCCTGGATCTTGCTCTGTAGACCAGGCTGGCCTCGAACTCACAGAGATCTGTCTGCCTCTGCCTCCCAAGTGCTGGGATTAAAGGTGCACGCTACTGCCACCTGGCTTTCTAATTTCAAATTTTAAAGGTTTCAGTTGGCCACGACGGTAAATACTTGTAATCTCAGCCCTTGGGAGTTGAAGCTAAAGGATCTGGAGTTCAAAGCCAACTCAGAATAAAAAACTGTCTAAAATAAGGGCCTTGCAAAATAAACAACAACAACAAAACAATATTCTGACTGTAGTGAAGACAAAAATCTATCTTCTTTGAAAGTTTGTAAGATCCTGCCTATCTGGCTTACTACAGTATTCAAATTTGATTCATGGTAAATATATTAGCTCATAACTTTTTCCACTGAGTGACTCAACACACACACACAATCCTTTTGAAGACTCACTTCTAGTGAAAGGCAGTGGCAGTGAGTGATTTAATTTTTGTTTGTTTTTGTTTTTCCAGACAGGGTTTCTCTGTGAGGCCCTGACTGTCTGGAACTAGCTCTATTGACCAGGCTGGTCTTGAACTCACAGATATCCACCTGCCTTTGTCTCCAGAGTGCTGGAACTAAAGGCGTGCGCCACCAATGCCAGCTGAGTGGTGTCATTTCTACTTAGGAGTTTACGATACAAATTTTGGACAGACAGTAAAGGAAGAAATGTTCAGTAAATTCTAATTAGAGTTTTACGTCTCAAACTGTTTGATTCCCTTGCTGCTTCAGGCTGCTAACCTGACTACTTGGGCAAAAGAAAAAACAATTAGATAACACTATATCATAAACATGGGCTCACTTCACACACACTAGTTTAACACTGTTCCCCAAAGTATTCCTATCATGCAACTGGTGACATATCAGATAATTTTACTGGTACAAAAATGAACATTTTCATTTGGCTGGATTTTTATTTTAACTTGCACAGAAGCCTGCAACTCACATTTTCAGTTTATACTGCTAGAGACGAAGGAGTACAAACTTGAAGAGTAGAACTTAAAACTATTAAGAAAATGGCACTACAGTTGATAACGGTAAAAGGTAACGTGAGCGAAAGATTAATTTATGTAACAATATGCCCCCAAGGGCAAACATATCTATCCTAAACCTCTCCAGTAAAGTGAATTACCTCCTGTGGGGGTGAAGTAGCCATCTCTGTCTCGCCCAGCCGACGGCCAACTTGCCGCGGAATAAAAAGACCAGACAAGGAAACATAACTGGCCCTTGGCTGCGCCAATGGGGTTGCAGCGCGCGGGGCACAACCCCCGGGGTTAGAGCCACTTGGTGGAAAAGGCTGGGACACACAATAAGAGGGGACTGAGCACAACGAGGAGGACAGACGGCGATCGGTCTAGACATCACCACCTGCCATTCCCCAATCCCGGCCGTGGGGGCAGCTTTCTCCACTAGCCTGTGCAGCAGGCGAGCCCTGATTTCCCTAAGCCTCAGGACAACAGCAGGTTCACCGAGTCCACGGGGAGCCACGCAAACAGCGCGGAAGCCTGGACCCCGGTTCCTGCGTTGCACGCACCGCGTGGGGGAAGAGGGTAAGACAGGCTGGCAGAGATGGGGGATGCTCAGTGGCCACAGTGGGGACTGAGGCGAGAGCGCGACGGCTTTCTGGAGACGCGCCAAGGCTGGGAGGCGCGCTGCCTTGCGCGGGGGTAAGGGCGGAATCGGGAGTCGGTTCCCAGGGCCTTAGCGCTACGGCGAAAGAAGGGGAGGAGTAATTCTGGGTCCCCCGCACACCCCGTTGCGGTACACACTCACCCGCGCCAAAGTCCTTCCGGAAGTCCAAGTTCGAAGATGGCGCCGCCTGTCGGGTCGCGGTTTTATGACGACACCTCGAGCGGCTCTTCCTCGCCCCGCCCCCGGCACAAGGTACACGCCAGCTTGGTCGGGAGTGCGTTCCCCGCCGAGTTTTCTATTAAACTCCGTGTTCCATAATGCAGCGCGGCGCGGCGCGGATCGGCGCGGAGCCCTCCGACGCCCGCGAGCTGGAGCTCGGCTTCCGCGGCCCTGGGACACTGCAGGGCCTGCTGGGAATTTCAGCAACCGGAAGGGGAGGTCGGCGCCTGCGCGGCACCGAGGCTTCCCCAGCGGCCTGGCTTTAAAGCTTGGAGGATGCGGTTGTCGCGCTTTGCTGGTCGCCGAACCTTCCGGCCTGCCATGCCACCCAGGCTGCGGGGGGCCTTGTTGTGGCGAACAGAGCCAGGCCACACTGATTCCTAACTGCAACCCCGAGCTTCGACGGCCTAGGAGACAAACCCTCGCCGCCGACCGCCAAGAGGATCTACTGAATGAGCAAAAGACGGGAAGAAAATAACAAGGAGGGCTTGGAAAGAGGCCAAGGGAAGGAAGAACCGGGGGGCGGGGGCGGGGGCGGGGGCGGGTTAGGCTCGCCTGGGTGGGTACGCTGCGCTTCTAAAAGAGATCGTCAGCCCTACTGCCAGGCCTCGCGCCACCCCGTCTCGGGGAGGTGGCCTGTGATGGAGCAAACAAGTGCAGCCAGTTTTCCTGAGCCATTTCAAACCGTATATATATTTTACAGGGCTGCCCAGAACCAGGAGGAGGGTGAATAAAAATGGACAGGAAAGGGTGGAACAAACCAGCCTTTCCTTTTCCAAATAGTCTTGTCCATTAATTCCGTTGGTTAAACATTTAGGGAAAGTGTAGAAGTCGGGCATAAAGGTGCACACTTATAATCCCAGCATTTGGGAAGTGGAAGTAAGAGGATCAGCAGTTCAAGGTCAACCCGGACTACTTGGAAGTTGGAAGCAGCCTGGACTATATGAGACGTCTGAGAAAAAAAATGAAAAAGAAATAAGGGAAAAGCGGGGTGTGTCGTTCTCTCCAGTAGTCCTTAAGTACTCAAGGCTGAAGCAGGAAGATCTCTTGAGTCCAGGACTTAAGGCCCTACTTGGGTAACCCAGACTCTTTAAAAAGAAAAAAAGTATGAGATTTAGCCAAAACCTATGGGAGGAAAGGAAGGGGAAAACCAGTTCTCTCATATCCCTTATGTCCAAAGACAGCATTTTGAATGGATGTCTTCCTCTTTGGGTATTGGCTCCTCAACATTGTACAGATTTACTTCTGTAATGAACAAAATATCTTAAAATCTTCCTGTCCCTGATTAAGTTCCCTTTGATGATTTTTTTTTTTTTTTTTGAGACAGGGTTTCTCTGTGTAGCTTTGCGCCTTTTCCTGGATCTTGCTCTGTAGACCAGGCTGGCCTCGAACTCACAAAGATCCACCTGCCTCTGCCTCCCGAGTGCTGGGATTAAAGGCATGCACCACCACCGCCCGGCTGATTTTTATCATAAAATTCATGACTTTATTTTTGAAAAAGATTCCCTGTAGCCCAAAGTTCAAGATACAATGTGTAGTTGGTTGTTTGGGTTTTTTTGGTGCCCACCACCTTGCTCCCAAATAAATCACACACGGAGGCCTAGTCTTTCTAATGAATGCTTTTAAGTTATCCTGTTTACCTTTTGCTCCTGGGCTTTTACCTTTCTCTTCTGTATATCTTACTTTCACTCTTACTCCATGGGTGGCTGGCCCCTGATTTCCTCCTCTCTTTGTTTTCTTGCTCCTTCTTCTCCTCCCAGATTTCTCCCCCTATTTATTCTCTCCACCTGCCAGCCCTGCCTATCCTTTCTCCTGCCTAGCTATTGGCCATTCAGCTCTTTTTTAGACCAATCAGGTGTTTTAGGCAGGTAAAGTAACACAGCTTCACAGAGTTAAACAAATGCAACATAAAAGAATGCAACACATCTTTGCATCATTAAAACGAATGCTCCACAGTATAAGCAAATGTAATATATCTTAAAATAATATTCCAAAACACGAAGGGCATCAAGGGAAGACTATTTTCAAACTTCACTAACCTCGTGGGCAATTAATTCATTTCTCAATGTTGATACAATACATTTTATGTATTTATGCTCAAATTCCTTTCTTTCTCAATTCCATCCCTTACCCTAGGAGCTAATCACTGACCTACTTCAGCCTCCTAAGTGCTCTCATTACAAGCACAAACTCCATGCCCAGTTTGTCTTTTATTTGTTTGTTTGTTTTGTTTTGTTTTTTTTCGAGGCAGGGTTTCTCTGTGTAGCTTTGCGCCTTTCCTGGAACTCACTCGGTAGCCCACGCTGGCCTCAAACTCACAGAGATCTGCCTGCCTCTGCCTCCCGAGTGCTGGGATTAAAAGCGTGCACCACCACTGCCTGGCCCTCGTCCCTGATTTCTTAACAGTTACCTTTCTAAGCATGAGGCTGACCCTGTTGATTTGCTTAAATTTAATGACTGAGTGGTACATTCGATCTAAAAAGCCCACAAGCTCATAATGACCTAAAAATAAGAAGACACCAACAAGTATCGTAGTCCAAAGCCTGGAGTCCTAGCCCTGAGAAGGCCAAGATAGGTTTAAGGATATCCTGGGTTATGTGACAAGACCCTGTGTGAAAAACAAAGATGAGAAAGCACAAGGGAACAGCCTTCCCAGTGTGAGTTTAGACAAAGAAACTGCTGTGAGGTTCTTACTCCCAACCCCTCTCTGTTTTGAGTAGGCTCTGGCTCTCTTGCTATGTAGTAGTCTATGCTGTCCACAACTTCATGATCTACTACCTCAGCCTTCCCTGGGCTGGATTACAGGCCGTGCCATCACAGCCTTTAAAATGATTGTCATTACTAAATACTAAATATGGAAGGAGTGAGAGTTAGAAAAAGTACTTTTATATTCCAGTGAAATTCACACAACCATTAATTGGATAAAACCACTAAATGAAAGGTTCAAGGGAACCTTAAAAATGTCAGGCCACACTCACCACTAAAACGAAACTCACAGGTCGTTGTTTGCTTCCTGATAGAAAACAATATGAAGCACCCCGACCCATTTAGGTATTGCTGCCAAAAGGGTGAATAGGGAATTGCAGGCCTTCGAGAAATGGGTGAAGTGACACTACTTTTTAAAAAAAAAGAGGTCATTCTGAAAGAAACATTTTTTTTTTTTTTCCAATATGCCTGTCCTGGATCTCGCTCTGTAGCCCAGGCTAGCCTCGAACTCACAGAGGTCCACCTGGCTCTGCCTCCCGAGTGCTGGTACTAAAGGCTTTCGCTACCAACCCCTGGCTGAACTTCTGTATTTTTTTTTTTTTTTTTTTTTTTTTTGGTTTTTCGAGACAGGGTTTCTCTGTGTAGCTTTGCGCCTTTCCTGGTACTCACTTGGTAGCCCAGGCTGGCCTCGAACTCACAGAGATCCGCCTGGCTCTGCCTCCCGAGTGCTGGGATTAAAGGCGTGCGCCACCACCGCCCGGCGAACTTCTGTATTTTTAAGAGACACCTTGAAGTCTGCAAGAATGAAAATGATTAATGTCTGGGATTTGCCGCACAGTAACTTCAGCAAGGGAAAAGAGTAAGAAGGGCTGGAGAGATGAAGTCATCTGACTGCCACCCTTGTGTGCCCCCCCCAATTAAACGTAATAAAATCAAAAGTGTGGCATATTTCAGCACTTGGGAAGTGGCAGTGGGAGGAGCCGAAGTTCAAGGCCAGCACCAGCTACACAGTTCAAGGCTGTGAGTCCTTGTGTTGAAGGATACAAAAAGTGGCAAGTTTTGATAACTGTTGCATCTAATGATGAGTATTCTCACACGGTTCACTCCTTTGTTTATATGGAAATTAAAAAAAACAACAAAAAAAAAAACAATTGGGTGGTGGTGGCACACACACTATTAGTCCCAGCACTCTGGGAGGCAGAGGCAGGTGGATCTCTGAGTTTGAGGCCAGCCTGGTCTACATAGTGAATTCCAGGACAGCCAGAGCTACATAGTGAGACCCTTGTCTCAAAAACAAACAAACAAACACCTTTACAGACAACATAGATGATTTCCATTCCAAAGCTTATGGTAGCTTAACTCTCAATCAAGACTTATTTATTTATTATATATACAGCATTCTGCCTGCATGTATGCCTGCACGCCAGAAGAGGGCACCAGATCCCTTTAGAGATGGTTGTGAGCCACATTGTGGTTGTTGGGAACTGAACTCTGGACCTCAGTACTCAACCTCTGAGTCATCTCTCCAGCCC